CTAAAGTTAAATAATATTATTCAACAATATATTAAACGTGTTTCACATAGAGCAAATTTTAAAAGATGCTAAGGTACAATTTGATATCTTTTTCCTTAACTTTAGCCTTAACCTTGACTATGATCAATCACAACTCAGTGAAACCAGGGTCTTTTTCTAAAATTGATGCTTTTGAATCATTTTACATTCTTGAATTTGGAGCTCTGGGGCTTTTGGCTTGTTTGACAGCTGAAGTTTCAATTTCAGTCTTGGATCTTAACACAAAGATGCAGAAGTACTATTTTAGCTTCTTGTGGCTATTATAAAGGGTATTTCTTAATTTTAGAATGTTTATGGGAGTGTCCTACTTTGCAATCTGCTGCTGACTCCATTAGGGTTGTTTTTGTTATTTTTTTTTTACTTATTTATGGACCTTTATTTTATTCATTTATTTATATGCAGTGCTGGGAATCAAACCCAGTGCCTCACACATATCAGGTAAGTTCTCCACCACTGAGTCACAACCCCAGCTCTAGTTTTTTTTTTTTTTTTTTAGTATCTTTTGGAATATTTCATTGTCTTTTCTGTATTATCAAGAAGGGAGAAAGGAATGCTATACGGGGCACTATTTAAAAAAGCAAAAAACTCCAATTAAACCCTACTGTTATTTTTCAGATAAAAATTAATACTCTCCCTTAAGAGACATCCTGTTTACTCCCTCACCCACCAGATAGCTCAAATGTTCTCTCTTACTTATTCATTTATTGACATTTAATTAATGATTCCTTTATTTCAACAGAAAATTTACATTTGAGGCTGGGGCTCAGTGGTAGAGTGCTTGCTTAGCATGTGTGAGGCACTGCGTTCAATCCTCAGCACCACATAAAAATAAACAAATAAAGGCATGCTGTCTATCAGTGAATTAAAAAAAAATTTTTTTTAAAGAAAATTAAGGCCAGGTGCATGCCTGTAATCCCAGTGGCTCAGGAGGTGGAGGCAGGAGGATCACGAGTTCAGCCTCAACAATTTAGCGAGGTGCTTAGTAACTCAGTGAGACCCTGTCTCTAATAAAATACAAAATAGGGCTGGGGATGTGGCTCAGTGGTTGAGTGCCCCTGAGCTCAATCCCCCCAAAAAAGAAAATTAACATTTGATCATCATCTATTTTGAATAGAGGTACACAAATCTCAATATATAATGAAATGTACTTTAAAAATAATCACCATGTCATTTATACATTCATTCATTTACTCTTTTATTTTGTGATTGCTGTGTGCCCCATTCTTTCCTACCCACAGGAAGAGAAGGAACAAGTGACACAATCCTGCCTTCTCCATGAGCCTGCAGACCAGTGGGAACCTGCATCATAGACCGTTAATCTTTGTTTTTGGTCTCCCTCTTGATTGTTTTCCTTTATTGTCCTTATTTTTGTGTATTTGATCTTTTAAAAAATAATCTGCTTTATAACAAAAGTAGTACATGCTTGTTGCAAAATTCAAACAATACAGAATTGTTTACTATGAAAAGAGAATAAAGCTTTGCTTAGAAGCCTGACTCCTGAAACCAAGTCAAGCAAGAATTTAAGATACCACTAGAGGCTTGCCAGAAAATAAGTCCAAGAGGAGCAAAACAAACAAACAAACAAACAAACAAAAAACCCAAAAAACCCCCCAAAACAAAAAACAACAAAACTTCATATATCTAAAAAATACATAATGACTTTTAAAATGTGGTTTAATTGTGTTTTGTGGTGATATGCAGCATTCATGGTTATAATTTTAAACAGAAGTCTGCCCACATTCTCAGGGGAGTAAAGAAAAAGGCACAGACTTCTTTGCTAAGAAACTTTCCCAAAGGGCAAGCCAAAGAGCAACTTCAGAGAAGAGATTTTCTAGATGAAGTCCAAAAGTCTTTTTTTTTTTTTTTAAAAAAAGGGGGAGAGAGAGAGTGAGAGAATTTTTTAATATTTATTTTTTAGTTCTCGGTGGACACAACATCTTTGTTTGTATGTGGTGCTGAGGATTGAACCCGGGCCGCACGCATGCCAGGCAAGCGCGCTACCACTTGAGCCACATCCCCAGCCCCAAGTCCAAAAGTCTTGCTGAGCTTTTTCTGATCTGCTAAAAGTGAAATGCAAAGTCAAGAGAGTCTAGCAAAATCCATATCATATCTGCTTGAATTAATCAAGAGAAAGATTCTAACATAGTAGACTTATAAATTTGAGTTTCTCAATTTTGATTCTGACTCTGACTCTTAAGTGAATGAGGAGAGATTGGACCTAAGGCCCCATCTTTACTTAATGGGGAAAGCATGGCTTTCAAATGAGGGAGAATAATTCATTGACAGACATCAGGGGAGAAGAAGGTAGCATCTGCCCTTTTTGCTTTGATTACTTTTCTACCAACCCCATCCCATAAAAAATAATTAAATTCCTAGGAAGTAAACACTTAGTGAATGTCTTCTGATTCTATAAACAGATGTTCCTTCTGTCTCTGAACTCCATGATGGCTTGTTCACATTCATAATTTCATTTAACCCTTGCTTCCTTAGTCAGCAAAGTTTGCCTGGAAAAGGCCCTGTGAGATGGCATGGTGGTGCATTCCTGTAATCCCAGCAACTCAGGAGGCTGAGGCAGGAGGATCACAAGTTTCAGACCAGCCTCAGTAGTTTAGTGAGGGCTTAGCAATTTAGAGAGATCCTGTCTCCAAAAAAAAAATTTTTTTTAAAGGGCTGAGAATATGGCTCAGTGGTAAAACAGTCTAATCCTCAGTACCCCTCCCCGCCAAAAAATAAACAAGGCTTTGTGAACTGTACCATCTCTGAGTCAACTACCCAACACTGTTTTGTAGCATGAAAGTAACCCTAGACAATATGAAAATGAATGGATGTAATTGGATTCCAATAAAACCTCATTTATGGACAATGAAATATGAATTGCCTATTATTTTTATGTGTCATGAAATATCATTCTACTCTTCCTGCAGCCATTCAAAAATACAAAAGTCATTCCTAACTCTGGCCATAGGAAGGCAGATGATGGGTGGGATTTGGCTCACAGGTCACAGTTTGCCAATTCACATCCTAGACTCAGTGTAAGACCCTCTTTGTAGAGTCTCCATCCTCTTAGAGGATCTATTGTACAAAGGACCACAAAGCTTCACCTGGGGGGCAAAGTGAGAACAGCACTGGTGAAAACCCCAAAATCAAGTAGGGAAATCAGCAGGTTTTTCTAAATTCTGAGTTACAGCTGAACATTATGTCATGTACCCATGGATCCTTTCCATTGGCTGGGGAGGCTCTTTTGAAGGTGTTAGGTGATGACGTTGGTTCCTGTAGAGGTTATTTTTGCACTGAGTTGAACCAAAACAAGGACTGAGAACTTCATAAAGAGAATGTGGCAATTATAAGGAATGTTTAGATAACAAGAAGCTTGGCAGAGATTGTCATGATGTGTTAGAGAAGATAGGACATACTCAAGATAGAAGGATGCCAATGAAATGGGTATGTAAATAAGGAGATGTTGTTGTAAGTTATCCCAAGCTGTGGGCCCAAGGAATGACGTGAAAGTGAGGTCAAAGGTGATAAAGACAGACATGGGTTTCATGCGAAAATAAAGAGTTCCAGTTTTGCTATCTGAATATAATTAAAAAGATACTGAAGAGCTTCAAATGACTCGGCCTATTTAGCTATCTTGAAGCAATTTTATAGAGGATTTTGAAAGTCATTCTCTCCTGACTTGGGGAACCGATCCACCATTACCATTATCACATCAAATTTATTAAGCATGAGTTACTCTGACATTATGTGGTTACCATATATATGTGCTCAATGGGTAAACTTTTTATATGTTAATCTATTTAATCTAGTTTTAATCAAATCTTCAAGTAGGTAGTAGATGCTGTGCTCAGAACTGGGTTGGGTACTCTAAGAAATATAAAAGTAGCACTAGGTTTGCTTCCTAACCTGACAGTATAATACAATATAAATACAACTCTTTTTGACCTGATTTTACAATTTCTTTGTCCAATAAAGCAATTTGAGAATTAGGATATCTCCCAACACATTTGGGAGGTCAAAGGTCCCGGACAGTAAGATGACAATTTTGTCCACGGAAATGAAAAGCAGATAGAATGGACAGAAATCCCAGTATATAAGAACACATAAGACTACAGGAGTATATACATCTAATAAGTATTTATTGCGTGTCTGCTTTGTGCTCAGCACTTCTCAGATGCAGTGGGTATACAAAAGATTTAAGAGACTGGGTATCCACTTCAGAGGATGAACACTCAGTTGGAATTTCCACTCACTCTACAGTTAAAGAACAAAGGAAGCAAGTTTCTATCAGACATTCTCTGGAGGTTCATGGAGGCCCTTGTGCTAGTTTTGTGTTGTCAGGGAGATGTTGATCAAGTAGCTTGAAAGTGAAAAAATAATATTCTCTACTGTTCTCTGACTTCTCCTTTCGTTGTTAGACATGCCACCCTGAAGAAGGCATGGTCCATTCTAAACATCACTCTGAGAAAATTACTGCAGTATTTGGATTAAGTTAATGTAAAGAAAACGTGCCATTCTTTATCTTTGGCACTTGGATTAAAGTGAACAGTGTGTAGCATTCTCAATCTGGCAGCCCCAGCAGCTTACAGCACAGATTCCATACAAGGTCCAACACTCTCTATCATGATAGTCTTCTTTTTCCCAACTCTGATTACTCAACAGATGTTTCCATTTCCATTGTCTCTAGCTAGCCTGTGAGGCCAAAGGCATACTCTCCCTATTTTACTCTAACATCAGCCTTCCTATCGGAAATCAAAAGCGAAGTCAAGTTTAGAGACAAATATAAATACTGAAAGCAAGGTCAGGGAAGATGCCCACTGCTCAATCATGATGTCTTTGGGCACTTCTTCCTGAACAGAGTCATAGTTTTGATATTTAATAATATTTTTATAATCTCATACTTTTGGTACCATGAAATTAACATGCACATACAATAAAATCACCTTAAGAGGAAAAATATTTTTCTAAAATGAAGTCTGAACATCATCATTGTTTTGATATCCTGGATTATTTTCTCCTTTACCCATTTCCATGGAGGATTCGGCGTAAGGATTTTCTTCTCGTTTTGTTTGATTTTTCCTGTTAAATAAAATGGATGTTAGAAGGAAACTTTTCATTGATCAGACTGATGAAGATCAAATGGCTTGATGGTATCATGTCTAAGGACGTGAGCTGGGGGAAAAAAGAAATTTCATAAATTGATGGTACAAATATACACTGATTCAGCCACTATGGAGAGCAATTTGGTGATATTTATCAAAATTAGAAGTGCACATTGACTTTGACCCAGCTCTCCCACTTCTAGGACTTACCTTGCACCTATATTGGCACACACAAGAACCTGCCTGCATTAAGCCATTGCACCTTTTTATTAAAAGTCTACCAGTAGAGGACTTGGTAACAAAATTATGATCTATCCATAAAATGTGAAACCACATTGCCTTAAAAAAAGATGGAAATCTCTTTGTACAAGTGATATGGAAAGATCACTAAAACCTATTCAGTGGGAAATTAAAAATGCAGAATATTATACATAATTTGCATACACTAAAAAAGTGTATATAGCTATATATCACCAAGAAACTGATCATTTTGGTTAACTTTAAGAGAGGAAACTTAAAGGCAAAGGACGACAAAGATTCTGTATTCTTTTGCATTTTTAACAATTTTAACTAAATATGAAATGTACTACCTAGTCAATGTCTAATTTTTAAAATGAAGCTACTTTGGAGAACTAAAAATTATAGTGAAGAATATTAAGTGAAATAAATTAATATATGCAGAGATTCAATCAAGAATATGTTCTATTTGAAGTGTGCATAGTTTTGTGTAGATGTTATAAAATATTATTAACCTACTTCATAAGCCCAGTGAAACTTATTTCTTAAAGTTAGCAGAAAAAAGTCTAGTGTCAAGTAAGAGTAGAAATCCAATCTCTAGCCGGGCATGGTGGCACATGCCTATAATCTCAGCGGCTTGGGAGGCTGAGGCAGGAGGATCACAAGTTCAAAGCCAACCTCAGCAACTGAGCAAAACCCTGTCTCAATATAAAAAATAAAAAAGGCTGGGGATGTGTCTCAATGGTTAAGTGTCCCTGGGTTCAATCCCTGGTATCAAAAGAAAAAAAAAATAAGTAAGTAAATAAATCAGATCTTTAATGATTTAAATCCTCGGTGAATTTGGATCTTCAACTCAAGAACAAATTTGAGAGTACCCGACCATGAATTAAGATAATATGGAGTTTGAGCTACCCCAGGAGGAACAAAGGCAACTAAAGAGAAGCTGTTTGAAAAAAATCTCAGAGCTCCTTCTTGAATGACTTTACAGTGAAATCCATCACCAGTCAAGTCTCTAGGGTCACTTGCAGAGTAAGAAGAACTCATCAGTGAGGATAATACCGAGTCCACCCACCGCTGCTAAGTTGTCAGTGCCTCTTGGCAGTAGGGAAATGATGTCATGGCTTGGATGAGTTTACAAGAGCATGCTAATAAACTGCAGGCTAGATATCTTATGTGGCTTGCTAGGAAGGTGAGTGCTAGTAAATTTCTAGAGAATGCCTCAGAATGTTTGGGGGCAAAATTGTCCAATTAAGTAACTGAACTATATAACCTGCCACTTACTGGAAGTTTTCCAATTAGTATTCCCTAAATCTTCCTGTCGGAAGATAGGTCTAGGAAAGCACTCTTACCTTCTTCGATCTCTGATCCCAGTGAAGATGAGGATGACAATGCCAACCACTATCAATCCCATCACAACTCCAAAAACAATCAGCCATATGGTGACAGGTGGCTGGTAAGGAGGTCCAAGTGTCGGCTGAATCCCCAGGAATTCCAGGCTGTTATCATCCAGGCGGAACACTCCATTGATGCGGCCCCGGGACATCCTATTTCCCCAAAGTGAAACAGTAAAGGGGACAATTAGGCAAAATAAAATTGTGTTTAGTTATTTACTCTTTATATCATTGTTCCCAAAAGAATTTAATTTGTATATCATAAGAATATACATCTAAAGTAATGAAATTAGGCAATCAGGTCTAATGAAAGACAAATTTTTTGACAGTTATGTATCTTTGATATCTGGAACCTAAATTAGATTTGCCAACAGCTTCACTGAAAAACTGAATTGCAAATATGGAAATGTGCAAATGGTTGGTATTTGTACATTTGTGACTGCTGTGCTTTAAAGGCAAAGTGAGCAAATTTGGTAATAATTTCCTGTCTGCCAGAGTATATCTGCTGTGACTTGATATCAAATAATGGAAAAGGATAATTTGATATCTGTCTTCTATAAATAAATCACATCCTATACCCAAGTTTCTACAGTAGAATTTCCAGCATTGAAGAGTAACACAGGAAAGAGACCTTGGCCAATTTCTCTAGTACTGGGATGGGATATGGCTAAATTTTATGGAGGAAAAAGGATGAAGATCTTTTAAAACAAAAACAGTTGAAATGGAGAACATTCTGGATCAAAGACTAAAGTGTCTAGTATCACATCCTCCTAACCTTGGGTATATCCCAGGTTAGGAGGTCTGAGCTCACCAGAGAGAAAAAGAGGCCAAAGCAGAATTTTTTTTAGCCATGTAACCCCTGGCAACTTTGGGGGTTCATATCGCAAGCCATTCTGGAAACAGAAAGTTTAAGGTGTACTGTAGGTGACTGGGACTCCAAGAAGGCTAATCTCTTTTACAAAGATCTCAGCCAATACTTCTACTGGTTTTTGGAGACAAGACTTCTGAAGCAGTGACTGAATCTTTGGGTGTGGTTGAGTCATACACCCCAACCAAGCCAGATTTTCTAGGCACATTATGCCCAGCTGGTCTTAGATCTGCTTTCAAAGACAATTAACATTGATGCAGCTCAAGAGGGCCACCTACTGAGCTCCCCAGTAGCAGTGGCTATATTAAGCCTTTTTTTTTTTTTATGAAAAGGGGAACCATATATGAGATGGATGCATCCATGACTTCTGCTGTCTTGTGGGAAAGAACTGAGGCAAATAGAGCAAACCATTTCTTCTAAGCATTCACTGTCCATACTAAGTCTCTCTCTCAATATGGAGGACAACCAATGTCCAAGGAATCCTATGTTTGTCAACTTGTTGCAGGCTTTGGGCAGTCAAATGAATCCTCCGTTAGTGTCCCTCTAGCAACTGATGGTAATACCTGTCTATGTCCCTTCAGCATTTTCCACGCATGCTGGTTAGACTTCCTTCAGCCAACACCTACTTCCCTTTGCCTGTGAGCACTGCTGGGGAATTAATGTCACCTTGAAGCAGTTCCCAGCCCATGACTGGTGAGTGGTGGTGAATGGATGATGACCGAGCTCCCTCAATTCTCTGATGGGACAAGTCAGGTGCACATTCCCCACATTATCCCAGAGTTGCCCACAAGGAAGTATTAAGCTCTTTGTGACAATGGTGGTGATAAAGTGTAATCTATTGTCTTCCCTCCCTTCTCTGTCGCCTGTCCACATTTTCTTATCAGTGCTTCTTGAAATGGCCTCCCAAATAAACTACTTATAGTTAAATCTTTGCCTAAGGGCCTGCCTCTGGGGGATTCTAAATCAAGATAATTCTCTTGCCATTAGATTATTTTTCATCTCCACACCATTTCATTATAAAATTTTAGTGCATGTTAATTGTACAAAATATAAGTTTCTTTGTGACATTTCATACATGCATATAATATACTTTGATCATGTTTACCCTCCCTATTAACTTCTCTGCTATTGGATTCTTCTAGAATTAAAACGCAAATTCATGGGATGAGGCAAAACATGTGAATGATTCACAACAATGCCTGGTCCTAAATATTAGCTATTGTTGCATTTGTTAACTCCTTCACCCTTTATATAGATTATTTGAAATAAAATGTTACCTGATAGCCTTTTCAACATCAGTTCTAGGGATAATGTCAGACGCATTTTGAGGTGTAGTGACAAAGAAGTTGAAGGAGATTCTTGGTTTCAAATCACTCACCCATACATCCTCCTCTCTGTGGAGAAACAAAAGCAACATCTTCCCTTTGGGCTCAGAGGACACAATAAAAAGAATGACATTCCCACCTGGTAAAACTAAGTTAGCCAGACACAGAGCAGAGGGAACAATGACAGGAGATAAGATCCAAAAAACTTTACCAATGCTCCAAACACATGAAATCAACTATATAATGTTATAAAGTCAAAGTGAGCAAATTTGGCAACAATAATAATAAATATGTCACATTTTGGCACTCTTTCCTCTATCATAAAAAAATCCACATTTTTTTTCAATGATAGAAAGATTTCCAACTGAAAGACTGAAGAGAATCAGCAAGAAATCATTGATAGCTTGGGACTGTGATAAAAAATTTGGTAGGCAAAGATGGCTCAGTATATCAGGGAAAAAAATGGTGTGTTAATATTCCCTCACCCAACCACACCCAGCAAAAAACATGGTGTTACACTCATGGGTGAAGGGAAAAAGTAAGGTTTAGCATACAATGTGACAAGATTGTGCTGTCATAGCTGCCAGAGTGATACTAGTAAAAACTATGATGGATCATGTGGCTCTAGTCCTTGAATCAATACCTGTCTCTCTCAGAATAAGAGCCAAAGTCTGTAGAATGGCCTTCAAGGCCCACAAGAACTTTCTTTACCCATTCCGGCCCTCCATGCCCAAATTTCCTACTAGTAAACACCACTCCATCTATACTGGCCTTCTTGCTGGTCCTTCAACAAGTCCTTCCTCAGAGTCTGTGCCTGCTGTCGCCCTTAGTGGATACATTTTCTCCCATGGTGCTCTCTCTGCTGCTTCACATATTTGCTCAATATTAGTGAAGTTTTTTTTTTTTTTTTCTGACTATTTGGGTTAAAATTGAACTGCTCCTCCACTCCCCAGCACTCCCTAATCTTTTTCCTATTGTGTCTTTCTCCCCAGCACTTATTGTGAATAGATAATGGTCAGGCAATGGGCCCCAATTAAGGTCTTATTCCAAGGCAGAGACCACACCCCAGGCTAATCCTCAGAAATATTTACTGCCACCATCAAGGCCTATTTCAAAAGTAAAAGACCTTGAGGCTTTCCAGCAGGAACATTTCTTCCTACCTGAGAGGGGGGTAAACATCAATGGTGGGAGTGAACCCAAATAGGAGTTAGGGAAGGATTAAAACTCAGGCTCAAGGACACAGCCAATAGCCTTGGTAAAGTTTTCAGTGCCCATTTAACATAGATTTTGATCCATGCTCAAACCATATGCGCCCTTAAGCTAGCACTCCAACATGGGTTTTATAGCTATCTGGCCCCCTCTGGCATCTCAAGAGTTCTATCTCTTCTCATTTAAATAAATCCCACTCATTTAGAATTCCCTTCCTTTATTGTCCATGGAAGGAAATTGGCTAAGCAGGGAATGTAAGTCTCTCGCAAAACTATCATATTTCACTTACCTTCTCTCTTTCTCCCCCCCCCACCCCAAACCAGAATATAAGCTCCATGAAAGTGAAAATTTCTTTTTTTTTTTCTTTCAGTGCTAAGGGTAGGTAAGAGCATTTGGACAAGAGAGCTTAATAAGAACAATGTTCTTGCTATCTACACGTTAAATAAACCACAATTATCCCTAAATAGAGTCACCCAAACTTCAGGATGTCCAAGAAGTTTAAAAGTTAGCAGGAGGTTTTTCTCAATTTCACTTGAAGACTCAAGAGTAAGAGAATTGCTGGTTGGAGAACCTAAGAACTCAGCAAATCAACTCACCCAAAAGGAATGGTCTGGTTTTTGACTTTTGAAAAATACATTCTCATGGCGTAAGCCACAGATGACCGGAACAAGTACATCTCATTGTCATTCCATTGGTACTGCAAAATGAGAAGACAGGCACTGCTCATTAGGGATCCTAAGACATATTTAAAGCTCAATATTCCTCAGGCATTATTTTTAATATTCCAAGGACTCTTGCTGTTCATTAAGCCAGTGACCTCCAATGTGAGTACACAGCAGCAGCAACTGGATGGTTAAAGCAACCTTAAAGTTTCTGATACAGAAATCTGGAATGAGATCACAAATTTACATCTCTAATTAGCTTCCAGGTGGTGATAATGCTGCTGGCCAGGCAACCATGCTTTAGGAACAATTGGGCTCATGATCCTTTCATTTAGTTTGATCTAAACTGAAATGAGCATCCTGAGGATAAGTTTTAAATGGGATCAAACAAAATTTGTGGGTTTTACTTAAAATGTCTGTATTTTGGAGATAAACTGATTATATATATATTTTTTTTGGGGGGTGGTGGGTACTGGGGATTGAACCCAGGGTCACTTAACCACTGAGCAACATCTCCAACCCTTTTTTATATTTTATTTGAGGCAAGGTTTCGCTAAGTTGCTTAGGGCCTTGCTGATTTGTTGAGGCTGGCTTAGAATTCTGGATCCTCCTGCCTCAGCCTCTTGAGCTGCTGGGATTACAGGCGTGTACCACAGCGCCCAGCAGTTCTCACTATTTTTATAGTAAGTTCTCGATATGTATAAAGAGAAAATAAAAAGAAAGAAACTGGGGGCTCAAGGAAAAAAAATAAAGTGTTGTAAACAGCAAGGTAATCTGTTCTTTTTTTCTGATTCTGAACAAATGGATGGCAAATGCATAGTCTTTGAAAACCTGCTTAAAGAGGAAAAAAAATGTACTCTTTCCTCCAGTAGATGGCAGTAGAGATCAGTGAATAGCACAAGATTTGTTTCTCCTTTCCCTTTCAGACAAAACATGATTTCACAAAAAATAAAAAATAAAAAATTATCACATTCACCTCAATTTGTTTTTCATCCATCTTTGAGGAAAAGGGAGTCTCTTTAATAGTAATAATGATAGTATTAACATTGTTACAAATAATATTCTGGTTATTATTTCCATATTTAAATTTTTTTAAAAAAGTCTGAGTTCTCAAAAATAAGGCCATAGATCTGGTTGATAATCACCCGAAAATTACTTGAACAGGGCAAATATTTTGGCCCTGATGTGTACACGCATTAAGATTATAGTTCTGACTTCATCAAAGCCAACTGTTGCTTAGTGAATTGGTCTCAGAACATTATACCATCAAAACTTCTGAAGACTATTAGCCAATCCCTCACTGCATAGAAAATATGAGCACAAATATCAAGAAAAAAAATCTTTTTTAGAAAATTTATTTATTTTATTTTGGTACTAGGGATTGAACCCAGGGGTGCTTAATCATTGAGCCAGATCCCCAACCCTTTTTTATATTTCATTTAGAGACAGGGTTTTGCTAAGTTGCTTAGGGCCTCACTAAATTACTGAGGCTGGCTTTGAACTTGTGATCCTCCTGCCTCAGCCTCCCAAGCTGCTGGGATTAGAGGTGTGCGCCACCCTGCCTGGCAATTGAAAAGAGTTCTGATCTGTCATGAGTAATTAAAACTTATTAGGCCAAGGAAAAGCTAATAAAGTATGGCAAAGATGAAAAAAAAATCACACTCAATGATTATTAAAAAATAGGAACATGAACTCAGAGTTTGGGAAGAAAACTTCTATTTTTGTTATTACTTTCTTCATATTCATTTTTCACTCCTGTTATTTATATTTTGATGTCTGACTTATCTATGAAAATTATACAAAAAGCATTTTTGAGTCTTGGAAAATATTTAACTTTTCATCTTTGGATCTATACGATGAGATGACAATTTTCTGTAGTACCTTGGACTTTTTATCTAGTAACCCCAGGTTGGTTTCTAAACCTGCAAAGCCTTCAGGTTGCCACCCAGGCCTTTGATCCCCATCTGCCTTGAGATTTCCTGTCCTCTCTTTCCCAATCAAAGCTGCTGCTGTACTTCCTTAGGCTGGCTCACTTAAGACAGGTGTTCAGAAGGCAACAGCTGACTCAACTAATGCACGTGATAAGAGTGAGCTTTGCTGAACTTAGAATCCCACTGAGAGCTTTTAAAATTCTTAATGCCCAACTCTCTTTTGGTTTGGTATGAGTTGTTTTGTTTTTTCACATGGCTTGGCAGGTTTCTTTTTAATTGGTGCATTACAATTATACATAATAGTGGGATTCCTTAATGCCCAATTCTTGATACCACACCTGGGGCAACTGAAGCAGAATTTCTGGGGATGGAGCCCATATATCATTTTGAAAACTTCCCATGTGGCTCCAATGTGTGGCCGAGCTTGAGAAGCAGTGTTCGAAATCAGAGCTCCCCAGACTTTACTGTGCATACAAATCATCTTGAGGGCTTGTTAAAATGCAGATTCTGGTTAAGTAGGTCTGGGGCTGGGGCCTGAGAGTCTGCATTTTTAACAAGCTTTCAGATTTGAATGCTGTTGGTCCATAGACCACTCTGAATAAAAAGAGAGGCTGTAGATGGACCAACTGATCCAAAACAAACAAAACCCCCTAAAGATACTGCTTCTAAAAGGAGACATCCTCTTGAAATATAACCATGTCCTCATCCTCAAATACAAATAATGGTGAGAAGTTAATGGGAAGGATGGATATTTGATGTTTAAGGATTGGTACATATATTTTCACGTTGCACTTCAGAACAACCTCAAGATAATAAGTAAAAAGTAGGCACAGCCAATAAGGAATTGGTTGTAGGGAAAGTAAAAAAGCTGGAGGCCAGAAGCTGGGGTTTACAGCATTTTTTTTTTTCTTTTTGGGTGCTGGGGATTGAACCCAGGGGCACTCGACCACTGAGCCCCATCCCCAGCCCTATTTTGTATTTTAGTAGAGACAGGGTCTACTGAGTTGCTAAACACTTCGCCATTGCTGAGGCTGGCTTTAACTCGCAATCCTCCTGTCTCAGCCTCCAGAGCCGCTGGGATTACAGGCATGTGCCATTGGGCCTGGCCAGCATTTCTTTGTTTAGACCATACTAGATTGGGCTGATTATGTACTATTTAAGGGGGAAAAAGTGTGCTGGAAAATAATGGATACACTGTCTGGAATACTCACTGCTTCTTCTCCAAGAGCTGATTTTAGGCTTATCCTCACTTTGATGCTTTGGTCAGTATCTAATTAAAAAGAAATTGCAGACTCCTGGTTACAGATTGATCACATGTGTTTACTTCCTTTCCCTCCCAAGGTCCCACAAAGGAATTTTTTACAAGGTATAAACACACTTTTGGAAAATGAGAAACGATGGGAGACAGGTAACTGTTTTCTCAGAGGACAGGAAGCCATGGCCTGAGGGGTACACAGAGGGAGTCCAGACCCAAAAGAGCCAGAGAATCCCAGGGAAGCTTTGGTTCAGGTACAGCAGAGGGTGGGAAGGGGATACTGGGCTAAAAACAAGGACGATGGACTCAGGGTGTGGTTAAGCTACTGGGGGAACAGTTGATCCTCTTACCCCTGTGAGCCTTTGCTCAGACAGTCACCTGGAGCCTGTGCACCAACAAAACAAGAGATAATCCAAGAAAGAAGGCATGGGATTCAGGAAACAGAGGGTTCTCCCCAGGAGAACAACAAAAAGATGACGCATGCGGAAAACTGGGGTCTGAGTGAGATAGGAGGATTCAAGACTCCAGGAGGAAAGTGTCCAGGGGGAGAAACTGAGGCTGAAAAGAATATATATGTTGGAATAACTCGGAGAAAACACACACGATGCAGGTGGTAAATTAGATATACTGAAAAAAAATCGAGACAAGTACAAATTCCAGAGCAAACAAGTCACATGAGAAAGGATACCAAATGATATATAACTTGGCTCTGTAGGCAACCTTATGAAAGCACTGATAACTGCTTTACTAAAAATCATGATAAAGCTTCACTGGGAAAATGAGAGTGGAAAAGGAGGCAGAAGTGGATGTCTAAAACTGATTAGAAAATAACAATATATACCTAATTAGAATACATTAATTAATAAAAAAGAAAATAATAATATAATTTAGATATATGAAAGTAACTGCCAGAAAGAGGAGGTAACAGTGTTAAAAGTTTTTGTCTTTGAAGAGAAGATTCAAGTGCAGTGGTTTGGAGATTGTTACACTCTTGTTTTAAACATGAGACTAATAAAACAGTTGAAAGAGTTTGAAGCACAGTTAGAAGCAGGTTCTACACAGAGGGAACATGCATTCAGCTGTGTCACCACCCTCATAAGGCTGGGGCCAAAGGAGACTAGGGTGGCAGACAGGGAGCAATGCAAAACAAGTCAACTAGGTGTACTCACAAGGGCTCCAGTTGGTGTTCCACCCAACAAAAGAATTCCTGTTCTGGTCTTTCAGCCAGCCAAACAATGGTTCAAAGTAGTTGAGCAGTGGTCTTACGTCCATGTTCCTTGCTCCTACCACATTTTCCAGTGCTAAGGTCCAGGGTTTTGACTTTCCAAGACGCAGCATATTGCTACATGAAAAAAGAGGGGGTTCAGGACCTCTTGAGGGATTCCATATGTACACATATGTACATTTATGATCTACAATTTCTTTTCTTTGACTTAGCTAAATTTTCTCCCAGCAGATAAGAAAATGATGCATATTAATGGATGGATTCATCCTTCAATCTCTCTTTCCTTCCAATTACTACAAATAGAGCTCTATAGTTCTGACATGGAGAGAGGAGGTGACCCATCCAGCCGTTTCATGGGCTAGGTTCCTGTGTCTGACCACAAATTAAACATTTACTTTGTGAATGAGGAAATTTTGAGGTTCCAAATTTCTTTTTTAGAACAAAGAAATCAAATTCAAAACAGGCACAGAAATGAGCAATATTGGACACTAGGAGATAGGAGAGGGTCAACATGTTTGTTTGTTTTTTAAAGCTTTTTTTGGAAATTTTTTTAGATGTTGATAGACATTTATTTATTTTTATGTGGTACTGAGGATCCAACCTAGTGTCTCACATATGCTAGGCAAGCGTTCTACCACTCAGCCACCACCCCAGCCCAGAGAGGTTCAAAATTTTGAGACATTTCTTACAGCAGCTTCTGCCCAGCTTCGGTGGAATTTGAGATGTCACATTTGTGGAGGGGGCCTTCATGTTTAGCTGCTTGACAAAGGGCTTCTTGAAACTGGAATTGATAAATGGTCCTTGTGTAATATCTGTGCAAGAGATAAAGAAACAAACAGAAAAGTCCGTCCCATGTTTAGTTACTATAGTAGAGTCATAGATTGGGGCATATATGTAAATTCTGGGGCCCAATAACTAAAGAGATAGTAGTCAAACCTCTTTCTCTAGGAAACCTAAACATGAATTCTATAGATTCATCATAATCTATCTGCATTTTATGTATTAGTTGATAAATAAGACAGTAATGATTATATCAAAACAAGCCCCACTATTAGGTTTAACTATAATGCACTAATAAAAATATTCACAAAAAACAAGGTGATATCATTATTCTGTTAATTGTTTGCTCACCTTGGTACTGTTTTACAAATTTGTAGTCCTTTCATATAAATGATGCCAATCTACAAATACAGAAACTGAGGCCCAGCCAATCTAAGATCTAGGGATAATAGGTGAAGAACATATGATTTAGACTTCAAGTTTAAAATGCTCTTTCAATACATGGTGAACTCAGCCAGTAAAAAGAAGACAAACAAAAATACTTTTCGTTTTTCCCAATAGTATTGTTGATTCCTTGATGACGGGAAAATGATCTCCCACAAGTTTTATTTAAGCCAACAAATCATGTTGGATTCAACTGCATTGAAATTGATCATGTATATTGAGTTTAAGGGTGAGAGGTGGAGAAGGAAAAATCATAATTATCACTTCATTGAGCCCTATGTATGTGTCATAGCATGGCTGTCCACAAATTCTCGAAGTTAGACAGAAGAAAATTGTCATTTACCGGATGAATGAGAAATCATTAGAAACATGGTATAGAGCTGCGGGGTCACAGTATGTTTCGTCATGAGGCACAGGCTCCATCACCCCAACTATCTCTCGCCTTTGGGAAGAAAAGGAAAAGATACATTAGTTGTAGATCAACCAACGTGAGAAGGTAGAGTTGGGTACAACTTCGGCAGTTTCAGTAGACAATAACATTGATCATCGAAATTGGTTGTCAGGTGAAATGAAAACAGAATAATATATCAGAAAAAGTAAAGTTCCTTGAGTTGTTATCTCTCATTGCTTTAATATAACCAAAATATACCATTGGAAAATAGCTGTATCTTCAAAACACTAATTTAAGAAAATTCATAAAGTGCTTTGCGTGTCCAAAAACATATAGTGAAAGCCCTAGAAGTTCCTCTCAGGCACCATAGTTTATGTGCCTTTGGAAGATCTTCATTTTATAAAATTGAAATCTTAGGTTTTTTTTCCTTAAGTGTAATTCTACTGGACCTTCTTCTGTAAGCAGCCCTGATATCACCCACCTTCTAGCACAATTGATCCTTCAATCTCCCTTAGTCTTCTCTAGCTGTCTCCTTGCCATTTCTCTCTCTCTGTCATAGTTATTAACATAAAACTCCTTGTCCTGGAGAGTTGGACACCTAGAGGATGGGGGCTGTGCCTTGGTCATCTTTACAGTTCTAGTGCCAAACATGGTGCCTAAAACTAAGGGAAAACTTCATTCCTATTTGTTGAATGACTAAAGGAATCACTAAATTACTTTAAAGGTCGGATTCCATGTACCTTTAAAATAAACTGAGGCATTGCCAGGCACAGTGGTGGATGCCCGTAAACCCAGCAGCTCAGGAGGCTGAGGCGGGAGAATCACAAGTTCGAGGCCAGCCTCAGCAATTTAGTGAGGCTCTAAGCAACTTAGAGAAACCCTGTCTCAAAATAAGAATAAAAAAGACTAGGGATGTAGCTCAGTGGTAAAGCACCCGTGGGTTAAATCCTCAGTACTAAAAAAATAACAAATAACTAAGGGATCAAAAAATCAGTTCAATTAGAAAAAAAAAGATAGATAAACTATATATTTGGCATTGTTTCAAAAGGGATACATTTGTCCTTTATGACTGTGGGGTCCTTATGGCCAGCTTCAGTCATATTCAAACACTAGAAACACAGTTATATAGGTGCAGCCTCCTTCTTCCCAAGGAAGATTTATGTTAACATAGAAAAGCTTAAAGGAAGAATGGTACTAATTTAAACTTGTGCATGGGGGACTGAATGTCACATATAAGATCTTCACTTCAAAAAGGAAAAACAAGAAGTAATTGACAGGGCTCTGACTACTATGCAACGGTAAAAAGATTTCTCTCATAATTGTTTCATAGCTGCATGTGCCTGACACAGTGCAGGGTATCTGGGATACAGTACCAGGTTTTCTCAAGCTTGAAATTCTCTCCACACACACCCGGCTAACTCCCACACCTTTCTCACGACTCAACATGGATGTCTCTCTTCATCTGGCCCCCCAAGGGCTTTAGATCTCCTCTTAAATACTCATGGATCCCTGTACCTTTCCTTCACACAATCACACAGTGGTTTTATCTTGCACGTTTGTACCTTAGACCAAAAGTTTGGAGCAGGGGATCAAGGACCACATTTGAAATGATTAGCAGTAGATCTCTATCCAGTGCTTTGCCCAAAATGTGAAGTCACCATTTTTATTTAAAAGAATGAGATGGGTGTGGTGGCCCATGCCTGAAATCCCATCAGCTTGGGAGGCTGAGGCAGGAGGATTGTGAGTTCAGGGTCAGCCTCAGTAACTTAGTGAGGCACTAAGCAACTCAGCAAGACCCTGTCTCTAAATAAAAATATAAAAATGGGCTGGGGGTGTGGCTTAGTGGTTGAGCACCCCTAGGTTCAATCTCCAATACCAAAAATAAATAAATAAAATAAAAATAAAAGAACGGACACAGAATACATAAAAGTGAATAGATTGATCATTTCCTAAATGGTATCACAATTTAAAATGTGATCTAATTTTTTTTTGTATATTTAAGAATATACACCATGAAGTAGTGTCACCTGACCTAAGATATGGGGCAGAGCCAAGGAGATTTTATCTGAGGAGATGGCACCCAAATGGAGACTGAAAAATTTTAAAAGGAGGCAGTTAACGTGTGTGTGTGTGTGTGTGTGTGTGTGTGTGTGTGTGTGTGAGAGAGAGAGAGAGAGAGAGAGAGAGAGAATACATACACGCATGCGTAGTATGATGGCATTCCTCTAACCTGAATACAGTTTTCTCTTTTTCACATATTTAACTCCAATCACCAGCTTTCAAGATTCACCTTTTCAAATTCTAGTGGTTTTGACTATGAAACATTGTCTGAGAACCCTGATCCTAGTTCTTTTAGATTGGATTTTCTCAGAAACAGACTCTTTAGATAAGGTCCTGGGGGCTGGGGATGTGGCTCAAGCGGTAGCGCGCTCGCCTGGCATGCGTGCGGCCCCGGGTTCGATCCTCAGCACCACGTACAAACAAAGATGTTGTGTCCGCCGAAAACTGAAAAATAAATATTAAAAAAAATCTCTCTCTCTCTCCCCCTGTTTCTCTCTCTTAAAAAAAAAATAGATAAGGTCCTGGGAGGTGATCCCTGGAAACATCAGCAAAGGAGGGAGGAAGTGAGACAGGGAAATGAAAGCAACCCAAAAAAGATGTTACTGAGTAAGTTATGACTGTAAGTAATTGTAACTTATTCCCTCTGAAGAATCCTAGGATTCATTATAGAGTACTCAGCACAAAGGCTAGTCCCACCTGAGGGCAGGGCAGTTGGGGTATTTATCCATCAACTCCCATAAGGTATTGGTTGAGGGCTGTTGGGGATGGCATTAGTTCCTTAGCCCCTCTTGCCCTTTGTGGGTTCTGATGGCTTAAGGAAGCCCCAAAGACAATGAAATACAGATACCAGTTGTGTCTGTGAGTGTGTGTGTGTGTGTGTGTGTATGTACAAGCCAGTCAAACGCTTTAAAATAAACAACAAACTCATATGAGATAACATTTTACTGACGGTGTACTCATTAACTTACTTCATCTCCCACCACTTTTTCATCCACTGATCTTTGGGAATTTCACCCTTAAAGACCATCCACCTCCACTTCTCCAACATGTAAGTAAAAGGTAGAGCTCCAACAATCGTTAGTGCTTGTTTGAGCAGGAAGTTTATTTCTGTTTCTGAAAGTAAATGGAAAAGGGCAAATAGTGAGATGAAGATGACAGTGGCTGTTTTGTGTTAAAAACAAACAAACAAACAAACTCTCCTAATCTCAAAATACTAGGCTTCAAAACAGATTTACTAGAAGGATGATTACATGAAGAATATTAATGGTGGACATAATAATATATGTATATATTCATTTTCTCAGCTAAGGGATTTGTAGCAGGGTGAAGCCCTGGAACAGAACAGGTACATAAAAATCCACATGTTAGCTGGGTGCAGTGGCGCATGCCTGTAATCCCAGCAGCTTGGAAGGCTAAGGCAGGAGGATTTCGAGTTCAAAGCCAGTCTTAGCAACAGTGAGGCGCTAAGCAACTCAGTGAGACCCTGTCTCTAAATAAAATACAAAATAGGGCTGGGGATGTGGCTTAGTGGTCGAGTACCCCTCAGTTCAATCCCCAGTACCCTTCCACCCAAAAAAATCCACGTTAATCCTAATCCTTATTTTTTTATTAGTTTCAGTCACCTCCCTTAAATACTCCTTATCATAGATAATTAGGGCTATTTCATCTACCTTCTCAGGCATACTATTTGTTCTTGAAAGCTCCATGAAGACAGTGACTGTTAATGTCTCATTCTACACTGTATTCCTTCTCCAGTGTCTGCTACATAATGCCCTCTTTGAGTCCGTGGTAAATAAGCAAACACTAAACATGTGGTGAAAAGCTAGTAAATCAGGAATGGGGGGAATAGCATGATGTTGCACAATAGATTGACTATAGATAACAATGTACTGTACAATTCAAAAGCTACAAGATGCTGGGGTTAGCTCTGTGGTAGAGCACTTGCCTGACATGCATGAGGCCCCAGCACTGAAAAAAAAAAAAAAAACAAAAAAGGCTAGAAGAAAGGATTTTTGAAAGTTTCCATTATAAAGAAATGAAAACTATTTGAGAACATAGATATGTTTACTCTAATTTAAACATTAAACGATGCCTATGTGTATTGGAACATCATAGGTTACCCCATTAATATGTATAATTTTTATATTAAAATAAATGTAATAAAAATATACATACATAAATAAATAGAGCCCTCCTAGAAGGCACCATCCACTGGATATACAAAAAATGCAATGTAATCTAAATATTCTGATTCTTCCTTACCAAGAATTTAAAATGTTTTTACAAGGAGAGAAGGGATGAATTTATTTAGTATCATTCATAAATCAAGGTCAGAGCTAAGAAAAGGAGCAAGAGTTTTTTAAACCAGTAGTTTAACCATGTCTGATATTATCTTAAGAAACATAGTGATACCATCATTTTTGCCTACCTTCAAGGAATATTAAATGATAAAACACATATTTGTGTGTTCATTGACTTAAGCGAATGATATTTTAAAATTGGGAATCAGGCATAGTTGCCATGAACTTTCTTTCCTTTGTTGCTTTCTTTATTGGATGCTGACACAACTGTTCTACATAATACTCCACTGGGTTTTTCATGATGACAATTTTATACTGGCCTACTCCCAGGTCCTCATGAGATCACCAAGGACCTGGAGGCAGAGATCAAGGCGAAGTGAATTGCCCACACAAGGATGGAGCTCATGACCTTGACCTCATTGACCAAATATTCTAGCCAGCAGAGCTAATTGTTGTGTCATAAACTGTTAAAATTCATGGAGGAAAATACACGGAAGAGGAGTAGGTAATAGGCTCTTATTGTCTTTTTTTTACAAGGAAGAATCAAAAGCCATGGCGTCGTCTCTAAAGAATCTGGATCTCCTGAGTATGTGTTGTGTTCAGTCATGTCCAAGACATTCAAAGAGAAACTGGCAGCCTTAGGTCAAGTGGGCTGCCTCAGGCAAACATGTTGACAGATAACCTGGGTCTGACTCTTTAAGCATCAGATGTTGCAGGAAAAAGTATGCTTCCACTGGATGAACAAAATGTTTCAGGCCCTTCAAATTTTGATTCCATCCCCTATCCTTTAAGAACTCCCAAATTTCAAGCTATACTTTGCATACTATTATGGGAAAGGCTTCATATTAGGGGTCTAGTTCTGGATCTGCCACTACATTGCTTTTAAAAAATAGTTTTTTAGTTATAGATGGACACAATACCTTTATCCATTTATTTATTTTAGTTATTTATTTGTATGTGGTGCTGAGAGTTGAACCCAGTACCTCACACATGCGAGGCAAGCACTCTACCACTGAGCCACAATCCCAGTCCACTGCATTGCTTTTTGACCTTGAGGTATTTTCCCTTTCATTTCTTCAGTTTCCTCCTCTGTAAAATAGTTTTTAGAATCTATTCCAGTGCTAACATTGTGAGAAGTTTCTACCTAGAATCACAGTATATATTCAGAAGCCTGATACTAATTAGCTGGATGGCCTGGGACAAGCTATTTCTTAATTCTGTGAGACTCTTTCAGCATCTTTAAAAAAACTCACTGAGGGACTGGGGTTGTGGCTCAGTTGGTAGAGTGTTTGCCTAGCATGTGTGAGGAACTGGGTTTGATTCTCAGCACCACATATAAACAAATAATAAAGGTCAATCAACAACTAAAAAAATTTTTAAAAACTCACTGAGTTTCTAGTAGATATTTTTAGGGTTATAAGATCATTCAATCAGTTACCTCTCTTATTCCTTGTCCAAAAATACAAAACCACATATTGGCATGTTCTGATATATACTTCAAAAAAATTTTTTTTTTACCAGTAGCGATTCCCAATTACCCACAAATACACTTTATGTGGCAAAAGCAAATATTTCCTAGACATGTTAATACTTTTGTGCACATCACACTAATGAGCCCCCAAAACAAACAATGAAAAAAAAAACATACCATTGTCTTCACGAAAATCAGATGGCAAAAGACCAATGGATTTCAGATGCTTAGGTGTAGTTGCAGACAGTGACATGATTTCCCCAACAGCTTCATGGAACCCTTCATTAGCTCCATTTCTTAGCAGGTAAGGTTGTATGGCATATGCCATGTTATACTGGATGTGTCCCATCTCATGATGAGCTGTCAGGAAGTTGTCCATTGTCACTTTTGTGCACATCTTGATTCTGTATAAAAATAGACAAGAGTAAAATGAATGTCACTGAATTTCATTTAATCATTATAGTAGAGTTGTATGAAGTTTTGGTAGCATGAATTCTGTACAAGATTTATTCACCATTGAATTTTGTGTATCTATCTCTTATGTCCTTATATACTAGTTGCTCAATATAAAGTGATGGGTGGGGCTAACTCCTGTTCTCCCACTCACATACTGATAGGAACAGAGACATCCAGAGCCCTTCGCTGTCAAAACTCTGAGGAAAATACTCTATAAGTTAGCAATAGACATGACCTTGGGCATAACAATGAATGAATATAGCACAGTCTACTAGAAGCACCAAGGAGGGCATAACTAAGAATACGATGAGCAATTTTTACCTCAATCAATGTGCAGGAGCTTGCCAAGTAGATGGCAGGGAGACTGATATTCCTGGATGTGTTCAGTGATAAGGGCTTGAGAAAAAAAATATGATATTCAGGATATTACAAGCCTTTCACTATAGCCAGTATAGATAGAGAAGCAGTAGAAAGGGCTGGAAATTGAGACTTGAGGATCATTAATATGTAACTCATGGAGAGGATATGATTGATGGCTCATACAGCAAGAATAGAATGGAAAGAAGAGCCAAAGCCTTGGGAGAAGCCTCAGGGAAGATGGAGAAAGTGTAATTAGAGAGGCCAAAGGAGTCTGGAATAGGATGACAGTGCAGAGGTCAATTAAAAAAATGCCATTGGCTGGGTGTGGTGTTGCATGCCTGTAATCCCAGGGGTTCTGGAAGCTGAGGCAGGAGGATCATAGTTCAAAAGCCAGCGTCAGCAACTTAGTGAGGAACTAAGCAACTTAGCAAACCCTGTCTCCAAATAAAATATTTTAAAAGGGCTGAGGATGTGCTTCTGTGGTTAAGAGCCCCTGAGTTCAATCCCAGGTGCCCTCCCTTCAAAATGACATCGGACTCACTAATTAATGTCTTACTCAGATTTTTTAAGTTTACTATAATGATTTTCTCCATGACTTCTCATTCCTCCTACTCTTGAGATGGCTGTATCAGTCCGTACCTGCAAGGCACTGGTTCTCAACTTGAGTGTGTTTGAGAATCCCTTGAAGATTTGTTTAAACTCAAAGTACTAAGCCCCACCCTGGAGTTTCTTCAGTAATCCCAGGATACAACCTGAGAATTTGCATTTCTAGCACATTCCCAAGTGAAGCAGATACTGCTAGTCCAGGGAACATACTTTGAGAACCATTAGGCTAGGTTATTCTATGGTAACAGGAACAAACAAAACTAAAACAATAAAAAATAAAAGACAACTGGTAAGTACTGTAATGGTGCTGTGACCCCATGAAATAAGGACTGCATTTGGCAATTAGGTTGTGGTTCTTTTCAACTTGACAAAAGCATTTTCATTCAGGTGGGTGTAGGGGTCATATTTCAGTAGATTTCTAAATTAATTTTCCAACTACTCTGATCATGTCACACTACCCCCATAAATACCCTTTAAGGACTCTTCAATACTCAAGAATTAACTCGGCCTCCTTTATACACCCAATATTATTCCAATCTGCTGTTTTGACTTGTTTTAACAATTATAATAGCTCTTATATATTTATTGTCTATTGTAGGTAAGATTCTGTGCTAGGAAACTTACATGTATTTTCTCACTTTTAAGCCTCCCTCTAGTATTGGGGTTGGTATTCCATAGCCTGCTGCCTGTTTTTATAAATCAAATTTAACTGGAACTCAGTCATGACCATTTGTTTATGGATAGCCTGTGGCTGCTTTCATGCCACAAAGGCAGAGTTGAGTAGTTACAATACAGACTTTCAAAGCCCACACTCTTTACTATCTGGCCCTCTTCAGGAAAGGACTGCCAGTTCCTACTCCACTGAGCACTGGTAGGCCTGGGCCCTTCCCAGGTCTGCTCTACTAGATAGATTACCTTCCCCCAGCTGTCTGAGTCAGTGTTAATAAGGGCCCAAAATGGCTTTCTTCTTCACTGGTTTGGCTAAATGAGAGGTGCCTCAACCAGGAGGTTATGTCTTTCCACACTTGGGGCAGACTACAGCCAAAGACTGACTAATAGAGGGTACAAGTGGCCAGCTTCCTTGTCTTCAGGCATGACCAATGTTAGTTCAAATTAGGCTCTGAAGAGGTTCATAGGATCAGGCTGAGGCCAAGTCTCCACCACAGATCTTATTCTTTCTTCCTTCCTTCCCCTGTTCCAGCCTGTTTCCCTTGCTCCCCTTTGCCTGGGTACACTTGTATAAGAATCTTCATTGCAAGCTGGTAAACCCAGCCTAAGACACTCACAACCAGCAAACTTGGATTACTAATCTGCTTCATAGATAAAGAGATTGAAACCTAAGAAGGTTAAATTCCTTGTCCAAGGTTACCTAGTCATTAAGTGACACACCTAGGATTCCAAAGCCTGTGCTCATCCTGCCACATCACAGAGACTCCCCTTCACATATTTGTTATTCTTGCCTAACTTGTTGACCCTGGTATACACTCCGGGTCCTGCCTCTCTGCATCTAATCCTGCTGATCTCCTCCCAATTGTCCAAAGCCTTCTTGCTTTCCAGACCCAATTCCAATGCTGCCCACAAAGCCCTCTTTGATCTTCTGTCCTATTCCAGGTGTGGCAAGTTCTCTCCCAGTTCCCCATAAAGCATTCCCTCTGTCCCTCTAAGGGCACATAGCACTTTCTCCTTTTTATCCTAGCTTGTTATTCACTCATCCTATTTCGAAAGCAAAACACAGAGGGAAAGATCAATATCTGATTGACATCTCCTCTCCATAAATCTCAGCACAAAACTTCTCTAATGGGGGCACCACCATCCTCATGACCATGCAACTCTAATAGGGGTATAATATTTCAAATGAGGCAGATCATCTAAAGTTCAAGTTAGCACCTGCTGGTAATCTTCAAAACCCAGATGTGCTCTCGTGGACTCCCGATCTTAGTTCAAAGAGTTATTTAAAAGTATTTTCTGTACTCAGAAAAGCAAAGAAGGAATCTCTGCCTTCATCATTTTCCATTTAGTATCTGGGCTATAAGTATTAATCCAACTACCTGAAGTCACCCTTCTGTAGATCCCAAGCTGTAGGGTGGCAGACCACTTTCCGGCCATCTGTTGGCTCAGTTAACATGGAGTTTTCCCAGAATCCTTGAGTCATATTAGGAAGGCCAACAGATACAAAGAACTTCTCAGCCTCTTTGAAGATCCTCACCGCATTCCAGTTCTAGGGGGAAAAAAAGAACAGTATTTAATCTCAGCATTAAAAGAACAGCATCCTTTCTGTTAGATATGTACATTGACAATAATCTTTCTAAAAGGAAGTTTGGCAACATGTATGAACAGCTTCCAGAATGGCTATACCCTGTTTCAGTAATTATGTCTCTCGAGAACTAACTTTGGAAATTAGATCAAAGAATTTACATTGCACTTATTTTTGCGGGGGTGGGTACTAGGGATTGATCTCAGGGGCATTGGACTACTGAGCCACATACCTAACCCCTATTTTGAAGACAGGGTCTCACTGAGTTGTTTAGTGCCTAGCTTTTGCTGAGGCTGGCTTTGAACTCGCGATCCTCCTGCCTCAGCCTCCCCAGCTGCTGGGATTACAGGCATGTGCCATCACGCTCAGCTGAGTGTATTTTTAATAGGGAAAAAAGTGGAAACAACCATCAAAATGTTTTGGAACTGCAGAGAGAGAGCCATAGACATCTGCCACAAAGGAAACTCTTCTTGAGATTAATGTCCCAGGAGATGACCAAGTCTTAGCTTAGGAGATAAGGCCCACATCAGGCAGGCTAAGTGGGTAACTGACAACCAGCTCATAAATCATTTTAATAACACAGATAACTTCCTCTAATCTTAAACACACGGTCAAGTTTAGTTTTTCTCCTATGTCAAACCTGGGAATAAGAAACAGAATATAAGACTCTGGGTTTTTTTTAAATTCACATTTAAAGGCTTAGTATCAGGAAATTGGTATTGATGAGTATGTCATTCTTTTAAAATTTGAATTAATTCTAACTGATACATAAAAACTACATATTTCTGGGGTTTTACAATGTTTCAACACAAGTATACATTGTATAATGTTCAAATAAAGTTAAATGTATCTGTCTCCTTGAACATCATTTATTTATAGTGAAAATATTGGAAGTCTTTTCCTGTAGCTTTTAAAAATATACAGTACATTATCTTATTTATACTCACTCTACTGTGCTATTGCATGCCAGAACTTCTTACTCCTACCTAACTCTAACTTAGTTCCCAATACTCTCTCTGGCTTCTGCAAACTACCATTCTACTCTCGTACCTGTCTTTCTGTGCCTGGCTTATTTCACTTAACATAATGATCTTCAATTCCATCCATCTTGTCGCAAGTGACAGGAATTCGTTTTTATGGCTATGTAAGTACTCCACTGTGTATATATACCACATTTTCTTTATCCATCCATCACTTCATAGATATTTAAGTTGCTTCCATTTCTGAGTTCATGAGAATAGTGCTTCAATAACCCAGGGAATGAATATGTCTCTGACTTAATTTCTTTTTAACATACCCCCAGTAGTGGGATTGCTGGATCATATTTAATTTTTTGAGGAAATGTATTATTTTCCATAACGACTCTACTAATTTGCATTCCCAATAATAGTGTACAAGGGTTCCCTTTGCTTCACATCTTTTCTAGCACTTGTTAGTTTTTTCAATCTTAACCATTATTGTTGCAGAAAGGCAATATCTCATTGTGTTTTTTAAAAAAGTTTTTTAGTTGTCAATGGACCTTTAATATTTATTTATTTATATGTGGTGCTGAGAATCAAACCCAGTGCCTCACACATGCTAGGCAAGTACTCTACCACTGAGCCACAACCCCAGCCCCTCACTGTGGTTTTGATTTGCATTTTTTCCTGATGATTAGTGATATTGAGCATTTTTTTCAAATACTGTTGACCATTTAAATGTCTTCTTTTTTATTCTTCTTTTGTGTATATTAATTATATAAATTGGTGGGGTTTGTTGTGGTATAGACACATACACATTAAAACACAACTGGAGTCAGAATGGCAGCTATCAAGAATACAAACAACAATAAGTGTTGACGAGGATGTGGGGGGAAAGACACACTCATACATTGCTGGTGGGACTGCAAATTGGTGTAACCACTCTGAAAAGCAGTATGGAGATTCCTTGGAAAACTTGGAATGGAACCACCATTTTGACCCAGCTATCCCACTCCTTGGTCTATACTCAAAGGACTTAAAAACAGCATACTATAGGGACACAGCCACATCAATGTTTATAGCAGCACAATTTACAATAGCTGAACTGTGGAACCAAACCAGATGCCCTTCAGTAGATGAATGGATAAAGAAAATGGGATATAAATACACACAATGGAACATTACTCAGCATTAAAAGAGAATAAAATCATGGCATTTGCAGGTAAATGGATGGAGGTGGAGAATAAAATGCTAAGTGAAGCAAGCCAATACCCAAATAACAAAGGCTGAATGTTCTCTTTGATAAGAGGATGCTGACTCATAATGGTGATGGTAGGAAACATAGGTGAAATGGAGGAACTTTAGATAGGGCAAAGGGAGGAAGGGGAAAGGAAGACGAATGAGGGTAGGAAAGACAGTGGAATGAATTAGACATCATTACCCTAAGTACATGTATGAAGACACAAATGGTGTGACTCTACTTTGTGTACAATCAGTGACTTGGAAAACTGAGCTTTATATGTGCAATATGAAATGAATTGCATTCTGCGATCATGTGTAACAAATTAGAATAAATAAATTTTTAGAAACCCCACAATTGGATCATGTTATATATGCTCAATATCTTTAGCCATCAGGGAAATGCAAATCAAAACTACATTGATATTCCGTTTCACTCTAGTCAGAATGGCCATTAACAAAATACATAAATAAGTAACAAGTGCTGGAGATAATATGAAAAAAAGGAACCCTAATTCACCATGGGTAGAAATGTAAATTAGTACACTCACTCCCTTCCATATGGAAGCTCCTTCAAAAAAATAAAAGTAGAACTATCATACGATCCAGCTATACCACTCCTAGATATATATCTGAAGGAAATGAAGTTAGCTTATAGAAGAGATACCTGAATGCCCATAGTTATTGGGGCACTATTTACAACAGCCAACGTATGGAACCAGCCTAGGTGCACACCAACAGGTGAATGGATAAAGAAAACATGGTATGTAACACAATGGCTTATGATTCAGCCATAAAGAAGAATGAAATCATGTCATTTCCAGGAAAATGGGTAGAAATGGAGATCATTATGTTAAGAAAAAAAGCCAGACTTAGGAAGACAAGTACCACTTGTTTTCTCTCATATCCCATATTTTCTCTCATATATGCAAACTAAGGAAAAAAGATGACCTGAAAGCAGAAGAGCGACTATTGGGGAATAGGTAGATGACCAGGGAGAGAAGGGAGTGGGGAAAGCAAGAGAAGTCACAGGGTAGACATAATCAAGGCATAGTATATGAATATATGGAAATGTCACAGAGAAACCCATTAATTTGTAAAATTAATGTATGCTAATAACAAAAAGGATGAGTTAAGGGATTGTTGTAATATTTTTAATGATGATTTCTAAATATGCAAAAATCTTCTAATTATATTCTTGGGCTTTTTTATTATTCATAGAGATGATTGATTACTTAGCAATGACTAACTTTGGAATGAGTGATGTCAGGCAGTTAGTAATTTGTACATCTTACTGCTTAGAGGAAAATTCAAGTCATCTTCATTTTGCATACCTCTCAACAAGGTCAATACCATATCTGTAATTTAAGCTACTTGAGGTCACTGACATTATGAACAACTTTTCCATGAAAATATAGATACATAATAAAATAAGTTTAAAGTAGTTTCAATTTTTGAGTTATAAAATTTCACATACAAAAGATAAGAACAGAAAGGATGGCATAAAAAGAAATGAAATAGAGAATTTAGATCAAAGGAAATGAAGTTAAAGCCTCTTCTTCTTACCTGTTTTATCATTGCATCAGTAACATCTATATTTGGTTTCTCTGGAAAGGGAACTGTCAAAGAGTATAGATTTGTCCAAAATCTACCCCACATATCACCTGTTGTTAAAAAAGAATACATTAATATATGACAACAACAGCAGAAATACAGACCTGATTTTACATAGTGCATGAGGTTAGATTTGTAAGTAAGCCATATATTATATTAGTTCTAAACAATATCATTTCTGTGCTTCCCTTTCACTACCAGTTTTTCACTTTTTTCTTTCTCTATTTTAGACTTGCAACATTTCCTTCTTCTACCTCCTCTAAAAGACTAAAATGGCAGGAGACTATGTGGTCAGGCAAAACTTGTTAGGGAATCATCCCAGTTTCCCCTATCTGAAACTATTACTCAAATGCATAATTTATTAAATATATGGAACATTATAGTTACTATAGATTAGAAAGAGATTTTTATAATCTATCATTCATGGGACAAAATACTACAAATTAAACTTTCAATAATGCCTGGTATTGGATTAAAATAAGATCATATAAGATCACCATTCAAAAACTTCTTAAGCAGTAACCAAATTTCATTTTTATTACTATAGTGGGTGACTTTTCAAGCTTCCCCAAAAATGTGAGGCTGGATTCCAAGGTCATAGACACTAAAAGGGGAAATGGATCCAGAAAAATGTCATCAATCTAACAGCAAGCAGAATCCTGCCACCAAAGATACGGGGCAACACAACTACATGAAGAGTACTCCAGTGGATTCATCTTTATTTTTATTTTATTTTTAAAAAGAAATTAGTAGAGATAAAAGTTTTAAAGGAAAACTTATTCACCATAGAAATATAAATGTGATATCATGATGAATCACATTTCACAGTAAAAGACCCAATAAGCACTATGGGATGGCTTCTAAAACACAAATAAGACTGTCAGTTAAACTGATAGAGTTAGAGTATCTAGAATAAAGATAGTCCTCATACTAATTTTTTTCTACATCAATAAGACCTGATCTGAAGTAACTGTTTGATTCTGAGCATGCCAATTGAAGAGGGGGATGTACAAAGTATAGCTCATCCAAAGGAGGATGAATATAGAAGTGGAATTTTAAGGAATGGTTGAAAATTTGTGTAGGATATTTAACTTGAAAAAAAGAAAACAGTATATAATTGACGATAACATGACAGCCATTAAAATGTATTGAATACATACTCTTGTGCCAGGTACTATGCTGTGTCTTATATGGTGGTTGTTTACATCTATCTGGAAGGTCATCTTGTAAAATAGGAATTGACATATTCTGGGTAAACTCATAGCATGGAAATAGTAATGATTAACGGAAGGCATTAGAGAACTGTTGATACAATTCCATATAAGTTAGAACTTTCTTATAACTGGTGCCATGTAGCAATAAGTTATTCTACTTTGGAAGGCAGAAAGAGCCCCATCACACCAGATGAATTTAATCAAATATTAAATTACTGAATAATGATTGTCAAGAACATTGTAGAAAAGATTTCTGTATTACTTTAGGGTTAAAATCTCCATGGGTCCTTTGTCCATATTCTCTCTTGCTATGAGATTTCACTGTGGAGGAAAATTAACTTCTAGAAACTTGACTATAGAAGGGATGTTATGTAGGCCTGGCATGAAATTTTCAAATATTTCTATCTTATTCGGCCTTGGCTCCTTGGGGTGGAGAAGAGGATGGTCACTCTTCTTCATTCATTACTCATATGAGTCCAAACCCAGTACTTTGCATCAAGACTAAATGGTGTTATCTGGAATGAACTCATGAAGCTTTCCAGGACATACCTTAATTGTAGAAAGCCTTTCTCTCACCCCTCGCATTTCTAGCCTAACAAGATTTTCTTTCTCTGACAATATAATACAAAAATCCCAAAGTTCACCTAAAAGCTAATTCAACCAAATTGAATACTGAAAATTATTTTCCTCATTTCTACTCTCATTTTATTTTTTAATTTTTTTAAAAAAATTATTTTTTAAATTGTAGTTGGACACAATACCTTTGTTTTATTTATTTATTTTTATGTGGTGTTGAGGACCAAACCCAGGGCCCCACGTGTGCTAGGCGAGCACTCTCCCACTGAGCCACAATCCCAGCCCCTCCACTCTCATTTTAACCTGGAATTCTTTTCTACTTATCTTAAATAACTCCTTTATCCTTTGGATTATAGCCAACATAATTATTATGTATAAAAATAGTAATGTAAGAAAGAATGATTTAAACTGAGCCTTCTGTTAAAGAAAGTGCCTTTAAAATTTGATCTCTATAATGTTCCTACAAGTACAGAATTTTTCAAAACTTTTATGTTGGATCTCACTCCAAAAGACAATTTTGTTTGTAGAAATAAATAAGTGACAAAGAACACAAAAGACTCCTGAGGTTTCTTACCAAGCAAATGAGCAGGAAGGCATCCAGTTGGACTGATATAGGAAGGATAGGTATTCATCAACTTTGCTCTCACATAAGCATGAAGATGTTCATATAATGGTTTAATCTGAAAAGCCCAGGAAGAAAGTTTAAGACCCAGATTAGCCAAATCAAATTTCCAATACTCAACACTAGAAACAAGAGTTTCTTTATATAAGTAGAATTTCCTAAATGATTTCTTTTCCTCTCCAATATTCCAGAGAGTTTCAAAGCATTCCCTCTTTTTTTTTAATTTTTAAATATTTATTTATTTTTTTATTTTATTTTTTTTTCTTTTTATAATTTTTATTGTTGGTTGTTCAAAACATTACATAGTTCTTGATATATCATATTTCACAATTTGATTCAAGTGGGTTATGAGCTCCCATTTTTACCCCATATACAGATTGCAGAATCACATCAGTTACACATCCATTGATTTACATATTGCCATACTAGTGTCTGTTGTATTCTGCTGCCTTTCCTATCCTCTACTATCCCCCCCCCTCCCCTCCCCTCCCCTCTTCTCTCTCAGCCCCCTCTACTGACATTCGTTTGTCCCCCTTGTATTATTTTTCCCCTTCCCCTCTTTATAGGTATTGATGATGACTAGCCTTATCACATAAATCAATAAAAACACCTGGAAGAAGGCAGATCTCAGAAAGATAGCAGATACCCCAAAAATATTTTTTAAAGATGTTATCTACTTCTTTCATTTTTAAATTGAGGTATAATTTACATATCATAAAATTCACCCACTTTAAGTCTACAGTTTCATAAGTTTTAATAAATTAAAACTGCTGAGAAACCATTACCACCATCCAGTTTTGTAATACTTCCATTCCCCCCAAATTTCCTTGTGCCTATTAGCAGCCAATCTCACTCTCATCTCCAGATCCCAGTAATCATGGAAATTATTTCAGTCTCTATACTTCTGCCTATTTTGGAAATTTTATATACACAAAATCATACGTGATCTTTTGTGTCTGGCTCCCTTTGCAGAGAACGATGTTTAGGTTCATCCATATCGTTGCGTGTATCAATAGTTCTTTCCATTTTATTACTGAGTAGTATTGCATAGTGTGAAAATATTAGAGTCAGTCTATCCATTCACCAGTTAAAACATGACTTGCTTATTTCCGGTTTGGTGCTATTATGACTAATGCTGCCATGAACATTTGTGTATGTCTTTCTTGGATATGTGTATTTCATTTATCTCATATAGACAGCTAAGATTGGAATATCTAAGTATTATGGTAAGTGTACATATAACTTTTTAAGAAATTGTCAAACTGTTTTCCAAAGTGACTATCATTTTACATTTCTGCTAGTAGTCTCCACTGGTATTGTCAATCTTTTATTGCCATAGCCATTCTGGTGAATGTACAGTAGATTTTCATCATGATTATAGTTTGCATTTACCCAATAACTTCTTACTCACTTTAGTCACTTGTGCAATTTTTTTGGGGGGAGGATTATTTATTTTATTTTTGGTACCAGGGATTGAACTCAGGGGCACTCGACCACTGAGCCATGACCCCAGCCCTATTTTGTATTTTATTTAGAGACAGGATCTCACTGAGACCCTCTTTTGCTGAGGCTGGCTTGAACTTACGATCCTCCTGCCTCAGCCTACGGAGTGGCTGGTATTACAAGTGTGCACCACCATGTCTGGCTTACTTCCATTTTTGACAGTTCTGCCCAACTATGGTTGTGACAATAGATTCACATCAGAAGTTTGAAGGTGTAGAGATAAAGGGGAGGCATGGGAGGTCAAAATGAAAGAGGGGCATAGTGAGAAGTGTCCATAGGACACTTCTACTTATAGTACTCTCTTCCCTATAAAAACTTCTTTAGTCAAGGGGAGGGAAAGGAGAAATACTAGGGAATGATATTGGTCAAATTATATTGTTATATTGTGTGCATATACAAATATGTAACAACAAATCCCACCATTATATACAGCTATAATATACTAATAAAATATGGGAAAAACTACCTTAGTCAAAGGCTAATGAAATAATAGTATCAATTGTTCCTCAGAAAGGAGAAAACCTTATGGTTCTACTAATAAAGGAAGACATTGCCAGCCACAAATAGCTCACAAAAGCCATTCTTTATAATCTAAAAGATTATTCCTTCTTAGAATCTGTCTATTGGCAACTACTAATCAGTGAGTGAAAGGAGGAGTTAAGCAGAGCAACTCTGATCATGAGTAGGGGCTGCCCTATTATTAAAAAATCTTTTCAAGCTCTAATATTCCATAATTCTAGTCAGCCTGGGAATGGCTGCCCAGTATGTTAAAAACAACCCAGAATGCCTTTGGAGATTTTCCCACTTCCAGTGTGCTCTGGTTCCTCAGTTACCTCTGCAAATGTACGTTCCACATCTTCAATCAACTGGTTGTGGTTATAGCCATAACCATCTGCTCCCTCTGCTTCATAATCTCCTCTCCAATAATCCCCATAGTCTTCATAATCTGGTTTTCAAAAGCAAAACAAGAGAACATAAGTGAAAGAAAAGAGAGAAAATGGAGTTTGCAAAGATTAGCTTGCAAGGAAGTTAAAAGAAATTTAAAGGTTTATCACATTTTTATTGTCCTTCCAAACATCAACTCAAAGGAATATAAATGAATAACAACATTAGCTAATTCTGTTAAGCACTTGTTCTGTGTCAGCAGTTTAAATGTATTATCTTATTAATAAACACAAAACTATAGGAGATTGTCATTATTAGAGCCCTCACTACACAGATGAACAGCCTGTGCTTACTTCTGAAATAAATTGTATTGTGTATATTTAAGGTATACACATGATGTTATGAGACACAGACACATATTAAAATGTTTATGATAGTGAAACAAATTAATATATCCATCATGTTGCATCTTTCCTCCCATAGCAAGATCAGCTATAATCTACTCATTTAGCAAAAATTCTGAATATAGGAAACTACATTAACTGCAGTCCTCATGTACGTTAGATCTCTAAACTCATTATATCCTGCTACTTTGTATCCTTTGACCTACATATCCCCATTTCCTCCTATCCCATCCCTAGTAGCCATGATTTTATTGTCTTTGTCTGTATATTTGACCTTTTTTAAAAAAGTTTTTTTGGTTCCACACATAAGTGAAACCATGCAGTATTTTTCTTCTTCTGTCAAGTTTATTTCATTTAGCATAACGTCCTCCAGGTCCATCCATGTTGTAGCAAATGGTAGAGTTTCCCCTTTTTTAAAGCTGAATAACATTCTATTATACATTTGTTCCACAGTTTCTTATCCATTTGTCTGTTAATTGGTACCTCTGTTGTTCCCATTTCTTGACTATTATAAATAATGTACAATGAACATGGGAGTGCAGATATCTGTTTGAGGTGGTGATTTCATTTCCTCTAAGTATATACGAAGAAGAGGGATTGCTAGGTCACATACAGTAGTTCTTTTTAAATTTTCTTTAGGAACCTTCACACTGTTTTCTATAATGGCTACACCAATCTACATTGTCACCAACAGCCTATGCCTAGAGCAATTAAACCACTAGGCTAAGGTCATATAGCTGGTAAGGGACAGAAACACACTTCTACTTTCCCAGCCCTGGGTCTTTACTCCATATGTCAGTTTATATTATTAGCTTTAAAACATATGATTGAATCTCTAAATCTTTTTATTTTCATTTTGTTCAGGACCTTAGATTTTCAGATATGATATAACCCATCTTAGACACTGTAACAGTGGGCCTGTGTTTGTTTGCAAATTATATGTATACATAGCACATCTCTCTGTGCTTCATTTAGTATCTAACCATCAGGAAAAACAAGCTGGTATTAGGGTATTAGCTAATAAAGTTTGCAAATGTATTTTAATCATTTTTATTTTTACACACACATTGGCAATGGATGATCAGGAAGATGAGGAAAGAAATAATTTGGATAGAAGGATATGCATGATATTATAATAAAATTGATGATAAGCTACTGTCTTCAGTTTGCCTAAGGCTGTGGAAGAAACTAATAACAATAAATGAAAAAATTCTTACTCAACCCCAGAGGGCAGTGAATTATGAAAGCATAAAGTTATTCATAATACCATGACTTCAGCTCATTATAAAGGTAGAAGAATAAGTTATGAGATATGGAAATTCTTTCCCAAGTTAATATTTTTATGACTACTTGATTCAAGTTATAATTACAATGGAAAAAAATAAAGGGTTTCCAGCTTAACCTGATTTTTTGTTTCTTTCTGAGCCATCACCCAGAGGTAGATATGTAAATAAGTTTCTAAAATTTTTTTTTAGTTGTAGATGGACACAATGCCTTTATTTTATTTACTTTTATGTGGTGCTGAGAATCGAACCTAGTGCCTCACACGTGTTCGGAAAGCGCTCTACCATTGAGCAACAACCCCAGCCCCTGTAAATGAGTTTTGAAAATGAACTATGGCCAGATGAGGGTTTATATAAGGGATAATGTCACTGTCTCTAATTCTGTCTAAGAAATAGGATACTAACTCAATCCCCTGATTCCCTCCTTCAGTCCCCTTGGGGGACTGAGACTTCCTTGAATAACTTATAATTAATAATTTCTGGACAATTAATTCCTTTGAGATCTTGTAGTTGAATCTCATTCCTGAGCTGTTTAAACCTTAGAGTTTCAATGCACCTTTTTATATGCCCCAGTAGTTTCCTGTTGAAACAGGTAACATGAATTGTTTAGCAAATGATTATTAATTTAGAGACATCTTAATATCCAAGGTCAGGCTTAATAATGAATGAGAAATAGTCCCATGGTCCCAGAGATCTCCAGGAACTCTAAGTCCAATAAACTTACTGTTTGCTCTTGCCATCTCATTTTTCAGGACCACGTACTCTTCATATAATGGCCTCAGCTGCTTGCCAACCTTAGACCTCCAGCCTTCCCAAACCCAGAGCCTCTCATTGTAGTCGGTGCTATTTGCCATTATTCCATCCAAACCTGTTATCCCAAAGCCCCAAAGGAAAATAAACATGCATTTGTAAAAAATTTTTTTGTAAATAATTATATGAATTTTAAAGAATTAAAAGTAAAGTTGGCAGACATCAAGGTCATAAAGTTATTAAATGAAATCTTGTGATTAACTCACTTCCTTGCCCTTACTATAGATCCAAATTGTGTTTACAGAGAAAAATAAACCAGTGCAATAATTTACTTGACAAATTACTTGAATGTGATAGAATTTATAATGAGATTTTTTTGAAGTTAAAAGAGCATCTATGCTGAAACACAAATCTGTAATCTTATCATCTTTCAGTTGCCCATCTGAAAAGTGAAATGTCATAATCTAAAGTCAATCTCATTTTTAAAATTTGGAATTAAAAAAAAGTAAATTTCACAATCAGTACTCAAAATTAATAGCCTACCTGGCTCAAGTAGTAGGCACTCTTGAGGTTTTTTTGGGTTACACACTTTTCCAGTACTGTAGATGGTGCTCATCGTATTTAGAATTGTGTTCAACTGCAAATTAAAGATAATAAATAATATTGGAAATGGAAAATGTGCTAAAGAGAATGCTAACTTAAAGATATCCTTTTGGTCATGTGGCTTTTTTTAATATTTACTTTTTGGTTGTAGATGGACACAATATCTTTATTTTATCTACTTATTTTTATGCGGTGCTGAGGATTGAACCCAGGGTCTCACACATGCTAGGTGAGTGCTCAACCACTGAGCCACAACCCCAGCCCCCTAATGTGGCTTTTTGATCCCTCAGAATGCAGCGATTCACTTCTTTTCCATATTTCTTCCTGTATGTAAGGGAGGAATACATTTAATTTTCCTCACTGTCAACTAGCACATAGCCTTATAAACACATAATAAATGTATGTGGAGTAATTGAAATGAACAGATCTACCAGAACTCCAACAATGTTTCTCAATTACTTATAGGAAAATATGTGCATTTTTTCTTTTATTCAGCATTTATTGAGTCTCTACTATGTCCTACACTTTGACAATCCTGAAATAAACAAGTCACAGGCCCTCAAAGACCCCAGAGTCATGAGACAGTGAGGCAGCCATGAAATCAATAACTACATAACAGAATGACAAGTGTTATAATAACTGTCACCAAAAAGTGATGTGGCAGTATTGATGAGAGGGTAGAATAGGGATGTATAGCCTGGAGACTCACAAACGACTTCAAAGAGGATAAGACATTAGAGCTGTGTCACACAGAAGTAGGAGTTAGTCTGGTACAGAAGGGAAGTAGAGAGAAGAGCCTAAAAATGGGAGGAGGTTGGAAATGATAATGCATTTTCAAGGAGTGGCAAGATGTTGAATAAAAGTGGAGCACCGATGTTCACTGGGGAAAATGGAGGAGATGAGAAAGGCAGAGGTAAGCAGGGGCCAGATCATGAGGGACCATGTATGCCATAGTGAAAAATTCAAACTTTGTTCTGTAGGTCAAGGAAAGTGATGATAATTATGTGAAGAAAGGCATGCTATGCAAAGCATGCCTCTGGGTCAGTGCAAGGCAGCAAAAGATCTTTTCCATGCTGTGGTAGGCACAGGAATTGTGAGAGTACATGTTTATAAGCTTTAAATGATTTGAAATTTCCATGGTATCTAAGTATGTAATTAATGAACTTAATCAAATATTGATTTGCTGTGGATTGGAAATAAAGGAAGAAAGGGAAGTGATGGGTGGGACTGGGGAAGGAGGGAGGAAGGGAAGATATGATTTAAGAAGCACTGTATTAAAGGTCCTGTTTCCCCTTTTTCTAGTTCCCTCTTCCATTATTTTTTCTACTCTGCTACAGAGTCATTATCCTAAAACATTAACTAGATACCATGCTTGAAACTTCCACAAATCCCATAGTCCAAGACAATAAACCTAGATTCTTTCCCTTGGCACAAAACTCCTCAGAGTCTCTTTCTCTATCTGCTTCCTTAATCTCCCTTCCTTCTCTTCACTGAACACATGCATCCTGGAGTCTCCCTCCTTCCCAGACACTTCAAGCTCTTACTTGCATTTAAGCAGTTTTCAATTCTGGCTACCTATTAAAATTATTTGGGGATCTTTTAAAAATAGAATGTCCAGGTCCCATCCAGGCTAGAGTATGCTGCCTAAATTAAAAGGCCAAGATTTCTCATGGTGTCCTTGTGAAAACAATGGAGAAACATGGAATGGATAAGATAAAGAGGATTGATAACTCGTGGGATAATTGGATCCAAAGAATGCAGAATAATAAATATCAACTTGTAGAAATAAATACCATATGGCTTTATCTTTGTCCTTATCATGCATTTTTATTTTTATAAAAATGTCCTCGTTCCAAAGGACAAGTAACTGAGAAAGACGACTTTGATGTTAAATAACTAAATATTTTAGATAAAAATATTTCAGTAGGTTATAACAGGGGTCTGCAAACTATGGTCTGCAGACCAAGTCCTGTCTGTTGCTTGTTTTTGTTAGGTTTTGTTGGAATACAGCCACATCCATTCATTTATGTATTAGCTATGGCTGACTTCCTGCTACAATGGCAGAGCTGACTAGTTGTGACACCAACAATATGGCCTGCAAAACCTAAAATAGTTACTATTTGTTCCTTTACAGAAAAAAACTCTGCCAATTCCTTGGCTAGAGGAATGGAATGAGGGATGTTATTTTAACAGGGGTGAATATAGGCTTTCTCGAATTTGGACAAACTAAGAAAACAAAATTTTAGAGTGCCATTTGAAAGCAACATTGGTGGAAGAGATTTGGAGACTCCATTGACAGTGAGGTTGACATGAGCCAACCATGGCATTTGGCTATCAAAAAACAAAACAATCTAATATAGTCCTTGACTGTCTTAGTTGGTGTAGATCACGGGATGCAGAGTGATACATTCCTACTCACTTCTTTCCATATCAGAACCCAGTGTCTTCTTTCACCCTCCAAGAGATGCCAGTTTGTATAATAAATTACAGTCACTTGACCGAGGTACAAATCTCTTTCTAATGTCAGCATTACTATCTTTGCAGATGAAGGAAGCATCCATGGGTGACATTAATGTTAATATTTCCCAAACATTTCAACTCTTGGGGGCAGTACTGAAATGTTCCGAAACATACCTGTTCCCTCTTATTGGCGGAGAGCGCTGAAGACCCACTCTGCTGAAGGGCCTGCAATTGACGCTTGAGTGTGAAATTTTGAATTTCTTGTAGTGGATAAGCTTTAGCAAGCTTTGACTGCTTTTCATAAAAGGCAGACCATTTGGCCTCAGCCTCATTCTGAAATGGCAAAAAATAAAAAATAAAATAAAATTGAAGTTGGAAGAGCACAGATTAAATAGATAAAGCAGAAGATATAGTCCAGAGAACATCTGGTGAAACATATACTATTTCCTGAGTGGCTTAGTCCTCTACTTTGCTGAAGGTCAAGGTCAGGTTAAGGGTGACCAGGCCACTCTTGGTCACTCTCTCTTTCTGGCCCAGTGCCTAGTTTTCCCAAGGGTCCTGTCCCCAGAACTGGAAGTAAATTCTCACAGATAATTCACACTGTGAGGCCTTGGAATTTATGGCCTTAGTTCAGTGACTGGGTGAGTTGGCTAAGGATTCAAGGATGAATGCTCTTAAAGGAGAACTGAGTAGAACACAGAGTGGACATAGTGGGAATATAGTCCATCATGACCATGGGAACCAAGAGGAATGAATGAGAACCAGATCACAGTAAGCTCCTAGGTGTTATGACATAGCACAAAGATTCTGAACTTAAGTTGTGATCTCAAAAGAAGGCTTCATAGGATGTGGCTATTTGGTAGCCATGGAAACTTTCTACCAGCAAAAGAAATCAATAAGCAGGATGCCAGGACACACTTGCCCCACACTCCCAATCCATCTTGAATATCAGTAGGAAAGTGGACTTCTCTAGCAGTCTTCTCCCTCCAAAATAAATTCATTTCCATGTATCAAAGATTAAAATGAACAACTACTTTGTATATCATACTGCCCTAGACCATACAAAAGAGTAGCATATGAAGTAGGTAAGAACTTCATCCCTGGAGTCAGACACCTCTGACTAGCTATATGACCTTGGACAAATTACTTAGCATCTCCAAGCCAGTTGCCTTATCTGCAAAATAAGAGTAATAATAGGACTTCTATCAAAGGGTTGATGGAAGGATTAGAAGAATTAATAATTAATAAAATGATTACCAGAATGCCTGACACATCCTAAATATTTAATAAATGTTACTTTATTACTTACAGAGAAAAAATCCTTGCTCTTAAGTTGCTTTAATTTTATCAGATGGATAAACATCATGAATGTTTCATTTATGAAACATGAGTATATAATACTGAATAAACTATGAGTGGCCCGATTTGTGTTATAAGAAACAAAAAATTCATGTGGGTGATCAGACTTGGCCAAGCCCTCATAGAGGAGGTAGAATGTAAGACAAACCTTAAAGTATGTATGAGTTGGATGAGTGTAGAATCCTCTGCAAATCATTTACCTCATTTGAGCTTTTATTTAATTTTTTGGTACCAGGAACTGAACCCAGGAGGCACTTAATCACTGAGCCACATCCCCAGCCCTTTTATTTTGAGACAGGGTCTCTCTAAGTTACATAGGGCCATGTTAAGTTGCTGAGGCTGGCTTTGAATTTGCCATCCTCCTGCCTCAACCTCCCGAGTCACTGGGATTACAGGCATGCACCACTGTGCCTGGCTTCATTTAAGATTTTAACAACTGTGAGATAGAAAACCACTGTGTCTCCATTAGGCTTAGAGAAATAGTGGAACTGGCAATCAATTACCAGCATTCAATCCTGCATGTGGCAGACAGATGGCTCCCATGATCCCTCCCTCTGGTGGGCACACCCTTTTCTTAAGAACAGACCTGTGACTTTCTTCTAGCCATCCGTGTACAGCAAGGTGACAGGATATACATATTTGTATCACAAAAGATTATAAATTTTATCTTGCTAGAAGTCTCCTTTGTTGACTTTGATGCAGCAAGAAGCCATAATACAAGCTATCTTATGGAAAGGGCCACATGAATCCAAGATGGCCTCTGACTAACATCCTGCAATAAACCAAGAACCTTAGTTCAGCAGCATACAAAGATCTGAATGTTAACATCAACCACACTGGCTTGGAAGTAGATCTCTCTCACCTCAAGCCTCAGATGAGACCCCAACTCTAGCTGCCACCTTGAATGTGACTTATGAGAATTAGAAATAGAAGATCCAGCTAAACTGTGCCTGGACTCCTCACCCACAGAAACTGTGGTAGAATACATGTGGGTTATTTTAAGCCACTAACCTTGTGGTAACTTTTAATATAATAGGTAACTAGTACAGATCCCACAGGTGGAACTACAGGCATGATTGCACTTTCCAGGCCAAGGAATTTTACTTTTATCCTGTGAGTATCAAGCATTCACTGAGAAGCTTTAAACAGGCATGTGACATGATGAGAATTGTACACAACAGTCACAATAATGGACCAAACAAGAGATGAAGAAAAATAGTGGCAGTGAAAATAGAAAATATTTTTTTGTCTTTATTGAATACCCACAACCCCTCAGGAACTGCTTCTCAGTTAATCTTCACATGTGACAACTTTTTGAAGAAGTTGTCATCATCCCCATTTTTAAAATGAGGGAAATGAGACAGAGCATGTCAGCAACCTTTCTTAGGTCACACAGCTAGTAATTGAAAGAACCGGGGCACCAACCCAGGTATATTTACTTCCAAAGCTAATGCTCTGAACCACTGTCTTAGGGATTGTATTTGACACATTCTAGTTTTCTCTCTAACATGCAGGAGTGGGAGGGAGTGAACTGTGGAAAGAGGAATTTGGTCTACAGATAACTGTCTTATCAATCCCTACCTTTCTTCATCCAGTCCAGGATAATTTTTTCTTATGTAAAATTTCTGGTAAAACTTTGATGGCAAATTATAATGTTATTGCTGATCATTTTTGAAAACAACTAACAACTACCCCAAATGCTTCAGTCTTACAGCATTTTTTATTTTATTGCATGTGGGAACTTTTAGGCTATCTGATTTGATTTTATTTGTCACTACTATTTTACAAGTGTTATACTTTATATCACCAAACAGTTACTTCACATTGCCTTGCATTTTGGTCTCTGAGGATATACTGTTCCTTCCCAAGCTATTCTTTTTAATATTATTTACAACTTATTTTATATCCTCACGTTAAGGCTCTTGAGCCTAAATAAAACAGATTGGCTGGAATACAGAGAATGAAAGTCAGTTCATACATACTATTCAGATTGTTTAGATAATGGTCAACAGCTACATGTAGTTTTTGGACCTGAATAATGGTTAAAATGAAACATAGTACACTAGTCTACATAAATCCAGGGCTTGAGAGAAACTAGTACAGATAACATATGTGACATTCCACACTTGAGAGAAACTAGTACAGATAAAATAGGTGACATTCCACACTATCTCTGTGGAAGGCAGGAGAGAAGCAACTAAAAGAGGAAAATTTTCCATAGCCATACACGAGCATTTGGGAACAAGACACACATTGTTCATCTAGTACCTTGGAGCATAACAAGCTTGGAAGAAAACCTTGAGTTCCATATTCTGGCCCAGTTTCTAGATATGGCTCTCAACGCCACATCAGGTTCAAAGATGAAGCTGCCCAGGTTACATTTTAAGTATACCCCTCCCCCAAACTGGCATTAAAAAATAACCCTTCTTTTTTAAAAAATATTTTTAGTTGTAGATGGACACAATACCTTATTTTATTTATTTATTTTTATGTGCTGCCAAGGATGGAACCCAGTACCTCACAAGTGCTCTACCACTGAGCTACAACTGGCTTTTTTTGTGTACTGGGAATTGAACTCAGGGATACTTAACCACTGAGCCACATCCCCAGCCTTATTTTGTACTTTATTTAGAGACAGGGTCTCACTGAGTTGCTTAGTGCCTTGCTAAGTTGCTGAGGCTGGCTTTGAACTCGCAATCCTCCTGCCTCGGCCTCCTGAACTGCTGGATTACAGGTGTGCGCCACAGGGCCTGGCTCCAAACTGGTATATTTTTAAAAACACTTATTTAACAGTAATATAACTTATATGAATATGAATTCCACCACTCCACCTTAGGATTCAAAATATTATTTTTTTTGGTATTTTACATGACAGTTTTAATAGTTGAAAACTTTAATTTTTAAACATTTATAGACTTTTTTGTTTTTCTGAATTTTATCTTCTGAGGGGAAAGTGCTCAGCTCTAAATTCCATTTTACTGCATTACAGTGTCTTTCCTTACTCCTATGCTTGTGTGTGGGTATTATGGGTACATTGAAGCATGGGACAGACTCGTTAGAGATAAGGATTAAGTCAACATTTTTTTCCTTGAGTATAGAATAGTGGTTTTGAAATACCCTACTCTGCCAGGCACAGTGGTACATGCTTGTAATCCCAGCAACTCCCAAAGCTGAGACAGGAGGATGGCAAGTTCAAAGCCAGCCTCAGCAACTTAGCAAGACCCTATCTAAAAATAAAAAATAAACAAAGCTAGGAATGTGGCTCAGTGGTAGAGTGTCCCTGGGTTAGATCTCCAGTACAAAAAAAAAAAAAAAAAAAAGTGTGGGTCTCTAACTTCTGACAACTAAGAAGTATTTATGAAGTGTTCTTAGAGACCTTGCAGACTCCAGCTGGGCAGTCTTAAATGTGCACTCAGTTTCATTGACAAGAGTTTGGAGCAGCTGTAGTTGGTACTACCAAATACTAAAACAATGAACCAGGCTGCCTCTACTAGCAATGGAATCTTGCTCTCTCCAAGGATAACAATGGTCCAGGACCACCTATGTTGCTGGAGAGTTTTCGGCTTCACTATTAAAAATCAAGTGTGTTCTTTCTAAAGTTGCTTTTAGGACTCTATACTGATTAAGTTTGATGCCCTCTATTATTTTAAGTTACATTCTTACAACTTGATCTAAGGATTGCCATACTAAGTCATATCCATAGGCTGACAAGTCAGTCCATTATCCTGATAGGTCAAAGTTACACCAAGGAGCAATATGGAAATAGCAGATTATCTTTAATAATGTTAAACTGATGGGATATAAACATACAAATGTCATGCTGATTCCCAAATTTCCCTTCCTGTATAAGTTGTCTGTTACTACAATGATACTATATAAGAAACAACCAAAAACCATAATGCCCTAAGTATTTATTGTTTATGTGTCTAGAATCACTGGGGCTTGGCAGGTAGCTCTGCCGATCTTGGCTAGATTTCCTTACAACTCTGGGAGTTGGCTTCTGCTTGGGCAACTGTTCCACGTGTCTCTGGTCTTCAGTTGGCTAGCCCAGGCAGGTTTTCTTGGCAAAGGCAAAAGATGCAAAGAACAAGCCCAATTATTCAAGTGCATTCCAAGCTTCTGCTTTCATCATTTCTGCTAACACAAACCAAGACGCATGATGAAGGACACAGTCACATAACCTGCTGTGGGACAGCACTGCAAACAGACTGATGTGACCTTAGACACTATTATAGGAAAGGATGAAGAACTAAGTCCATCAAATGCAGTTGACCATACTTCCTTAAGCCACAGTGGATCTACAATTCACACATTTGCTTAAACACGTCAAAAAACCATTTACAGTTTTAAATGTCTCACGTTTTTTAGATTAAAGAATAGCTCAGTTTTACAAGTCTTATCAGTGTTGCCACCTTAGTGTAAATGGCACTTCCTTCTATTTACTCTAAATTTATCTCTATTGAGCTTTCAACTGTACTACCTTTCTAGTATTAAGAGGTTTAGCCAATATAGTTGTGAATACTCCATCCATCCTTTCTTGTTCCATCTCAAACTATTCAGATTTCTTTTTCATTTTGAGTCAGGTTTTCTGTAGCACCCAACTGCCTCTGATCCCATTAAATCACTCTGATTGCTCTTTTTGGTGTAACAGTGTCCTTTTATAAAATTCTTCCTTTAAACAGGGCCACTAGCATTATGTTTCTAAAGACATGGGAAAATGTTTTCTCTTATATCCACAACTGTCTAGACTATTGTGGTCATGGAAACTTATTCAGTCTTCAGGGAACAATCTTGAATGACTTCTAGGTTTTTTTCCTGAGTTAAAAATGATTTCTAACAACTCATTAGTTCCCAGGAGAAAGCCCACATATACCCAACCTGGATTTTCTAGATTACTTCTAATTTATGTCATTTTTACTATGTATTACAACTTTTGGTGGCAAGATTATTTATTATAATTTGATTTTTTTTCAAACATTTGCCTATGCATTAATAATCTGCCCAAAATCTGCTTTATGGCACCTTATATTCATGTCATTGGAGAACATTTTTCAGAATTTATAAAACCTCTTTGAGGAAATAAACAAATATATCTTCTTAAGGTATAACGATATCAAGAATTGAAACACCAAGTGGCCTTAAAAATATTAATGGTAATTTCAAATATTTTACTTGCTTTCACTTGAGTGGATTATTGCTGAGCAAATGTTAAAACACTGGTGATTACAGGGGCAGTTATTTTCTCTGTCCAAGAAGTTCATTTATAGTTTAATTCCAAAGAAAATAAACCAGATCATCAGATAGTCTCATTAAAATAAATCCACACTGTTTTTAATTTAGCAAGTTAGTACATTTTATAAGAACAGATGTTGGTCTATAATAAAACATTAAGTCAGTAGTATATAAATTTATGGGGATGAATTCTCCCCTTTGTGCAGGAAAGGTTTGTTGTCAAGATACACAGTCAAAGGTTGATATTTGTTAATTCCTGACCCTGAGTTTGCTGCTTACAGGCCAAGAAGCAGGCAAAGGAAGGAACATTATGGCTGTTTCTGGGAACTGCATTGCCCCCAAGTTCATATCATTTCAGTAACTGCACTGTGAATATCAGAAGAGTCTCAGAGGTGGGAGACTCTCACTTTCCCTAGCTCTGACTTTTTCTGGTAAATATTTCTTTAAAAACCACCCACTGAGGGCAAGGGAGGATCGTAAGGAGGGGTGATATGATTAAAACATAATATATGCACGTATGGAAATGTCATAGGGAAATCCATTAATTTGTACAGTTAATATCAGTTAGTATTTATAATTTTTTTGTGTGGGTACCAGGGATTGAACTCAGGGGCACTCGACCACTGAGCCACATCTCAAGTCCTATTTTGTATTTTATTTAGAGATAGGGACTCACTGACTTGCTTAGCACCTTGCTTTGGCGGAGGCTGGCTTTGAACTTGCGATCCTCGTGTCTCAGCCTCCCCAGCCACTGGAATTATAAGTGTGCACCACCACGCCCAGCTTAGTATTTATAATTTTAAAAGGAAAAAAAAAAAACTACCTACTTGAGATAGCAGTGAGACTGTGGGACTTTCAGAATATAAAGTCCCTGAATAATATTATTGTCATCAACGTTGATGTAGAGAACTGCCAGACATGGTGCTAAGATTAAAGTCACATGCATTCAAACACATAAATTCACCAAATTCAGTAATCTGGTACAGCATAGACTATATCACTAGTATTATGATAATAATCTTCAGTTTATAGATGAGGTAATTGGGGCTGAAGGAAGTTAAGAAACTTGCTCAAGCTGGGTGCAATAGCAAATGTCTGTAATCCCAGCGGCTCGGGAGGATCACGAGTTAAAAGCCAACCTCAGCAATGGCAAGGCACTAAGCAACGCAGTAAGACCCTGTCTCTAAATAAAATACAAAATAGGGCTGGGGATGTGGCTCAGTGGTCGAGTGCCCCTGAGTTCAATCTCCAGTATCCAAAAGAAAGAAAGAAACTTACCCAAGACCCTCAATTTATAAGATTCAGAGGTAGTATTTGAACCTACCCAGAATAGGTCAGACCCCAGAGTCCACCCTTACTATAGCAGACACTTATACATGACCATAGTGTGTGCATATCCTTATAGCATAATAAATCTCAGCAATTCCTCGTCTTTTTGTGTGTGTGTGTGTGTGTGTGTGTTTGTGCGCACGCGCTGCTGGGATTTGAACCCAGGGCCTTGTGCATGTAAGGCAAGCACTCTACCAACTAAGCTATATCCCCAGCCTAGTTCTCTATTACATCTGCCACAGTACACAGTGCATTAGGAATCTCAAGATGTGATCAGAGAATAGAAGGAGCCACTTCCCTCCCCACCTTCCCAAGTAAATACACATAGGTGCCCCTGAGTGCATTCGTGCCCCTTCTTCACTGCTGAAGGAGATACAGGACCTCTCATTTGCTTCTTGCATTTAAATATTCTCAATGTTCCTTTAAAGTACTTATACCTTTCTTCCAGTTTAGCCACATTTAGTAATTTATTGTCTTTCATTTCATTTTGTACAATTCAAAAGTGATAACACTTTAATGATTCAGAGATGGTTTCAATGAACATCACTACCTCTCATTCCATAACATGCCTTCTCCACATCTGGGCTCTCAACAGAACTGTTACATGCTTCTTTAAAAATCCTAACTTTGGGACTGAGGTTGTGGCTCAGCAGTAGAGCACTCACCTAGCACATGCGAGGCGCTGGGTTTGATCCTCAGCACCACATAAAAATAAAAACAAATAAAAATAAAGGTATTGTGTCCAACTACAGCTAAAAAGTATTTTAAAAAATCCTAACTCTGGGGTTGGGAATTTAGCTAGTGTCAGAGCACTTGCCTAGCATGTACAGGGTCCTGAGTTTGGTCCTTGGCCCTGGGAGAAAAAAAAATTCTAACTCCCTGCTGTCTCTCCCTCCAGAGATGGCTCACATTCTCTCCTGAATGTGTATTTCTTGATCTATCCCCAAAGGTGCCTCTTTTGAGATGACCCACAATCTCCCTTGAATGTGTATCTGCTTTCCTAAATAAATCTGTCTCTGAAAACAAAAAACCCAACTCCTTCTCATACTAATAACAATGATGTCTTACTGTTCTCCCATGCCCACAAGCATCAAGCACTGTTCTTGTGGTTTTAAGACTAAATTAGTCTTCATAGCAATGCTATGAGGCACATATGAGTATTAGTTACTTTTTTCACAGATGAAGAAAATAAGGCTGACAAAAGCTAATTAAGTAGCTCAACTTCGCCCACCTAAAAAGTGGTGGAATCAGAATTTGGATGTAGGTAGTCCAGCTCTAGCTTTTGGGTATTATTCTAGTATACCTCATCATCACCCATGAACCATTGAGCCGAGAATGGAAAGAAACCCACAAAACTCTGCAATCACCTCTAACAGAAATCAAATAAAAATGGAGGGGGTTCAATGATGAGATGAAGAGAGGTAATACCAAAATGTAAGATAGGACAAAACATCTTCTATGCTAGCACTGGGCTGTCAAAATCTCCTGGCTTTCCTCTTAACTTTAGAAAATAGAAAAAAAAATAGCTTGGGGGATTTCAAATGAGGCAGCAATTTTCAGATTGAATCTGTTCAGTGAATAGTAATTATTTAAATTAAACATGCAACACACTAATCATTTGGAAAAAAAAAAAAAAACAAGCTTCCAAACTATAATACTTTCGAAAGAAGGAACTTGCTGCACAAATAACACAATTTTTTTTCCTCAAATTAATTGTGTGATTTTTCCAGCACTTAACTGCGTAAGGATACTGCTTAGGGAATCTGTGAAAAATTTCTTAAATCCTTGTACTTGTCAAATAAAGCATTTTGCTTTCCTAGAACTTTCTGAGATTTTTTTTTTCAGAACTGGTTTAATCATAGTTTTTCTTGGAGGGCTCTTCTGTCACTCTTGGAAGTCCCTCAGAACTCCGTGACAATGAAAGAAGGAATTCCCAAGTCCAGTCTCACCCAACCCCTGGTTAGCTTAATTACTAGCTGGTTCATTCAGTAAGCCTCCAGTTGCATTTTTTAGTCAATATGTCATTTTAGTCTTTATATATCCCTGTTGACATTATAGACTAGAGAAAATTATTAACTCAATTACAGTAGCATTTCCATGAAATGCTTTATAACTCGGACTATAATGACAATTATTATGATCACGTTGTAAAGCATATTGTTTCTAGAATCTGGACTGAGACCAGTGAATGATTTTGCAGCCATTTTTTCAAATGAACTCCAAGGTCAATTAAGTTTAGTCATCTGGGACTACAGAATCAGGGATATAAAGGCAAACTTCCAGGCTTAGAGCTCAAGAGATTTCTTTCATTTCCCTTTTTAGTTTTATGGGCAGTAGTTCTAATCTGTAAGAAGCAACAAATACCCGCTGTGTAAACATGAGAACTCACCATCTTTTGGGTATTCTCCTTTGTGATATTTGTGTTATAATTCCAAGAAGCAAGTGAACGTTGATAATCCAGGTCTTCAGCTTCCTGGTTAAACTTGTCCAAAAATGTCTTGGCCAGTTCCTCGATGGTGGACTGAGCAGCAGTCACAGCAACAAAGCTGAGAAGGAGCCAGGAAGAGCCTAACATCTTTCCCCGTGCGCCAGGACAGGATCCCATCCACTGAACAACTTTCCCTAGAGTAAAATTTCCTCATGAGTTTTTCTCTCTTCAGCCTTTGAACTTGGGTTGGGCATTGAGGAGGGAACACACACACACACACACACACACACACACACACCAAAAAAAAAAAAAAAAAAGAAAAAAAGGAGGAGGAGGAGGAGGAGAAAACGAAGAAGAAGAAAACAGTAAACAATCTGCTGAACCAATATAAACCTAATCCTGGAGAGGACAGATATGTAAACAGATTTTAGAATGATATTCTTTAAAGTAAAACAAATAAAGACATGTTATTCATTAATCCTAGAAAACCTTAGCTCTCCTAGCACTTTATGGCTAAATCAAAACTTGTACATTTGGTTAATATATTCCCCCAAAACTGTTAAATATACACTGAGGGTATTATGATTTTTCAGTAATGGAGAGGGTTAGAATTAGAAATCATGGGGTAATGTTGGCATTTATGTTTTTCTGATAATTCCACTAATATTCAGTTATTCCTCTTTTATTTTTATTTCCAGCTCATGTTCACAGAAACTCAGTAGTTGGGTAATATTTTCCCTTTTAAAGACTTTGTCTTTATAAAATCCATTTTTTGGATTAATTTTAATTTCCATGGCCATTTTTTTTTTAAATTATGAGACTACTCTCCACTGCATGGGCTAAGGCTCTGATCTAGCTGTGGAAAACTTCAAACGGCTCATTTTCATCTTATTAGATGACCATGTTAAACACCAGTTCTAAGGCTGACTTGATGTCCTTCCCTTTCACTTACCTGTTCAAAACTCAGTTGAAGCTAAAGAGAAGTAAGAAATGCTGCCGCATGTATGAAATCCAAAGAGTGCCCATGTCAAGTTCTGGTCATCCATAGCCATAGGATCATGGCAAGAGAACAGAGAGATTTTAGTGGTTATCCTGTTGAATCTCAGGAGCTGGCATAGTGTTCTCAGTACCAGGGTGTAAGCATGTCACAGATAAAAGAGAGCAGCAACTTCAAATGGCAGGGCTCATGGACCTGCTTGATTGTGATTATGAAACCTTCATGCAGAGAAAACATTTCTTCACCCAGAAAAACAAGTCTTCCAGGTTCAGATGAAATGGCAATAACCAAGCCTTAAAAAAAATTCTCACTACTTAACTTTATTCCAAATTATGCATGTTATTATAAATAAGAAAGAAACAATAACTGTTCAAAGTGCTTTGTGTTGTAATATTTTAAATTTTTTATTGGTATACTATAATTATACATAATAATGGAATTCATTATGCCATATTCATATATGCACATATTTTATTTAAGCATCATAACAAACCTAAAGGCAAATATTTTTATTGCCATTTTATTGCTTATGAAATTGCTCATAAAATTACTAAACTTCAATAATCAGTGGTGGAGATGAGGCATAGATCCACAGTCTGATTCTACAATATAGACCCTTAACTAAATATAGTCTACAGTCTAAGAGTGGTCATGGAGCTATAGTTAAAGAACAGCAGACAGACTTGTGCCTTTAGTGAAGATGATGGATTTGGTACTACTACATCAAATATGAATCTAAAACATACTATCATTTGACAAAACAAAGTGGTTGACAAATTTAAATAACAAGAAAGAATGTTTAAAGAAAGTGAGATTGGGGGGTGATCAGTGTAGAAGTTTCAGTAAGGCTCCTTTTACATTCAAGGAAGCTGAAATCCACTCGCTTCTCTCACATATTAGGAGAAAAACAGGCTACAAAAACGGAAATAGCACATAAGTCTTTGAACAAAGAGTTGAGCTGTTACTTGAATAAAAGTTGAAACAATTCTCTATTCAGGTAATTTCCCGTATGAAATATTTAGGTTTGGGGGTGAAAATACAGTAGTCCAAAATCAATTCTCTCAGGCAAAAAATAAGATCAACATAATCAAATTGAAATGGAGAAAGCAAGAACCAAAATTCAAGCTAAAAATAGGTGGACAAGAAGCCTGAGATAAGAGTGAGACAGGAAAATGCTGGAAGCCAATAAACTTTGACAAGCAAGGGAAATGGAGGAATTGTTTACAGTGATTCTGTAGGAAAATGAGCTCATGATGCACAACTGCAAGCACTGACTAGAGTTTTGGAATTTGTGTTCATTCTCCATCGAGAAGATATGATGTTCTGATAGAATGAAAAGAATCCATGAAAACCCAAGGGGATGGGATCCAGTAAAACAACTGGCCCAAAGGAATGTATTGTCTTTAAGAAATCATGGAGAAGCAGAAAAAAATTAGAAGACTGAACATACAAGAAAGCTATTCTAACTTTCAAAAGTGCTGGAGGTGGGGGTTCATTTCAAAAGGATAGAGGAATGAGTTTGACCTTGACACTTGACAAAAACATAATTTTTAGAACGTGATTTGCACTTGGAAAAATGTATATCTACTTCACTGGGAATAAGCCAGATGTTGCCTCTGATAAAAGAACACAATAGGTTGTTTTTTTTTTTTTTAAAAGCCATAGTTTATCTTCCATTTTAACAAGGGATTTAATAAAACAAAGCGCTATGACTAGGTCCAAATGTCCCCTGAAACAACTACACAGTAGAAGATTAGGCAGTCTGATCAAAAAGAGTTCACGTCCAAAACAACAATAATCCTGGTTCAACCATTACTTGCTGACTACCTACTGCACCAGGTACTGTTTTATACGTTAGATATACACCAATAAATAAGGCTGTTACTATCCTATTATGTGAGGTGAGGGAAAGAAACAAAGAGTTGATGATAAATGCTATGACTATGATAAGCAGGAAATAAGGGAAAGACAATAAGAAGTGCAGAGATTTTTCTGCAAGGACAGCCTCTCAAAGAGGTGACATTTGAGCAGAGAGCTATGCGGATAACGAGGGGAAGACTTTTCCAGACAGGGGAACCAGAAAGTACAAAGGGTATGGAGGAAGCTAGGGGCCATACCAGGAGGGCCTTAGAGCACTTGGGCTTTTACTCTAAGCAATGTGGGAAGACAATGGAAGGCTTCAAGCAGAGCGAGTATCTGGCAAAAGTTTTTTTTTTTTTAATATTTATTTTTTTTTAGTGTTTGGCAGACACAACATCTTGGTTTGTATGTGGTGCTGAGGATCGAACCCGGGCCGCACGCATGCCAGGCGAGCATGCTACCGCTTGAGTCACATCCCCAGCCCTGGCAAAAGTTTTAATAGGATCAGTGCACCTGCTGCTTAGAGAACAGTTAATGAATTCCTGCAGCAGCCCAGCCAAGATGATTGAATAAAAGCTTCATATCAACTATAAATCCAACTTGGATGCCCAAACAAAAAGTAAATCCATCTTAGACTATAGTGGACTGTGCTAATAGAAGTATGAGATACAAAATAATCTAGATAATAAATAAATAAATAAATAAATAAATAAATAATCTATGTTCAAGTTTAGAGAGATACAAGAGACTATCCAGAGGAAAATAAATAAGATAGTAGATGGATCTAAAATAATATAATTTAAAGAACAGTTCAGATTTGGGAAGACTTGGGGTACACAACTCTCCTCAATCGTGGCACTGTCATTGAGACAAAGACTTAGATAAGATAGTGAATTTACTCTTCCACTTATTAGCTATATGACTTAAGGCACTTGATATCCTCCCTGAACCTAATTTCTTTACTGAAAAGCTGATGATAATATTATATCCACCTTAAAGGAATGTTATATTATATGAATAACATAAGAGTGTATATAACAATACCAGAAGCCTAATAATAAAAGATGCTTAAAATGAAAGAAGCAGTGTAATAAATAATAAACTTCCACACTAAAATGTTTAAGCAAACCATTTGCAGGTTCATTTTACAAGGACACTGCAGTAGAGCTTAGCTGAGTTTGACTCAAAGGTTTATTTGGCCTATAGGATTCTGCATTGTTGAAGTTTGCTAACCTGTGCTGAAATAGCAGGCTTGAGGAGCTCACCGATAGAATGAGCAGGGTCATTTGTGAAAGGAAAAGGGAGTCAGCCAGGGAGTCTGCATGAATTCAGCCACGGAAAAACTGTCAAGTGCTCTGATCATCAAATTTGGTCCTGGTACAAAACATCATATATAAAGATAGGAGAAAACTTGAGTCAATCACTACTAACTTGAGGGACAAAAAAATGTGGTGAATGTAAATGATTCCTCCCAAAGTTCACATATTTTTGTCTTTGTGATGCATATACTTCATACACAGACTTTTCATAGCAATGTTTGTAGATGGGAATTGTGAGATCCATTTTATAATTAAGGAAACTGAGCTTCTTAGTGTTCCCATGATGCCCAAATTCCTACAACCGATAGGCAGTGGAGCTGTTTTTGATCCCAGGCTGTTTACAAGGTTTCTTTCTTCTCTCCATGGAGCCATAGATTCAGTTATCTGCTAACCTCATGTAGGAATAGTAAATCCCTTGTCAATCTTTCATATTCTGAGAGCAAGAAAACCCACATTAAGTAAAAGTAAAATTTACTGCTATGATTATACCAGTTTCATATTTTGAAACTATTTCAGATAGAAATTTTTCCAAACTATATTTTATCCTAATAGGGTTGTTGCTTGGATATTCGTGTGTGTGTGTGTGTGTGTATGTGTGTGTGTGTGTGAGAGAGAGAGAGAGAGAGAGAATGGAAGAGAAGAGAGGAGAGAGAGAGTGTGTGTATGTGTGTGTGTGTGTGTGTGCATGTTCAGATGACTCAGTGTAATCATCTGGAACATTGTTTACTGACTAGGCTATAATGTGACAATGTCTTCAGGGCTTTACATTAAATGATTGCAAATACTTTATTGCTATTAATTCTACTGTCTCTGCACATTCGCTTCCTGGAATATTGACTTCTGGTAGCCCTACCCACCACAAATCTCCTCCCTGTTTTTGATCTGCTGTCTGCTAAGATTTAAATGGAAACTAGATAACCATGAAGGTCCATCAGGAATTTCCCTTTTCATAGGCTCAAACCATAGGATAGGTCTTTACTCTGCAAGAGCAAAGTGCATAGACTTTGAGATCATGTTTCTCTTGCTGCTCAACTTTTTTACAGATTTCCAACTGAGTCACAAACGGTGAGGTTGCCTAATAGTTATAGG